GAGTCTACTGGAAAGGGGCGGGCATTTTGGGGTCAGGGAAAAACCTGGCACAAGGGAATCTCCCAGGTATCTACAAGGATGACCTCAGCTAAGACTCCTAACAACAACAGATACACAGCTGAACTAGCCATCTCCTGTACCAGGCAAGACTCCAAGTAGAGGGAGTGGGAAACCACCCCAGACCTTCAACCTCAAGTTTGTCCTGCCTATGGGATATGCTAGGGTAAGGATGGCCAAGACACTGAGGCAGTGGCCAACCAATGACTGGTCTACCCTAAAACCCCTGCCAGGAGACGAAGCCCACCCCTTATACTGCCTGTAGTACCAGGACCCATAGGCTGGATGACCCAAAGATCCAGGATAAAACCAAGTATGACTGCAGAGGGAAAATGTCAATGTAATGGTGCCTAACAATATTCTGCTATACTCATAGATTGGTGCCTAGCCCAATTGTCCTCAGAGAGGCTTTATCTAGCAACGGATGGAAACAGATGCAGACTCACAGTCAAACATTAGGTGAAGCTTTGGGGAATCCTGCAAAAAAGGGGGAGAAAGGATTATAGGAGTCAGAGGGGTCAAAAAACATAAGAAAAAAATCAAAGAATCAACTAATCTGGGCTCATAGGGGCTCACAGAGACTGAATTGTCAAACAGGGAGTCTGCGTGGAACTGACCTAGGTCCTCTGCATATATGTTACAGTTGTGTAGCTTGGGGCCTCTTGTGGGACTCCTAGCAGTAGGAACAGGGGCTGTCTCCTACTCTTTTACAGGCTTTGGGGACCATACTTATCATAGGGGTCACCTTGTCCAGCTTTAATACATGGGGAGGTGCTTAGTCTTACTGCAACTTATTATGTCACGTTTTGATGAAACTCATGGGAGATCTGCCCTTTCCTAAACAGAAACAGGAGTGGACTTGAGGGGTGGGAACAGAGGGGAGGTGAAGGTTGGGGGAAGGACTGGGAAGAGAGTAAAGGAAGAGAAACTGCAACCAGGACATAAACTTTTTTTAAAAATGGAAAAAAAAAACTTCAGCTTCAGTAAACTGAAAAAAACTCAAATAGTACAGTTAAACATACTGGTTTTCCATCAAACCAACACTAAGAAGCTGAAGTGGGTTGGGGGGCTTCTAATTTCACTCTCAAATATGAACTTAAGGCACTATGGCTTTAAGTGAGAACAGAACATTGACCAAAAGATTCTGTAAAATTAATCTTAGGTTTGGAACATTCTCTTTGAAATCATAAAAATCCAAAGACTAAACCATAAAAGCAAAAACAATATACACACAAATTTAAGCAAAACACCAATGAGCAATTTTTAAGTATTATTTGCAAAACAAAAAGTGTTGTTGAAGGGGGGGTCTAAAGAGATCAGTTGGTAAAGTGCTTACTACAGTGGAGAATGGAGACCCAACTTGAATCTCCAGAACCTACACTCAAAATGTTAACCCCAGTGCTAAGGAGGTGGAGACCAGTACACCCTGGGTCTAGGTGGCAGAACCGCCTACCTAGTGAATTCAGAAAGTGAGAAACCCTGTCTCAAAAACCAACCAACGTAGAAAGCACATAAGGAATGATACTTGAAGTTGTGCTGTAACCTCCACACATGCACCCAAGCACAAGTATGCACACAAACACACATTTACATCCACATATAAAACATTCTTTGAGGCTGAAATTTTTGCTCAGAATATACCTAGTATGTGTAAGATTCTGGGCTCAATAACCAGAACTGAAAGAAAAACATAAAGTTTGCTTTGAAGTACCTAATTTCTTTCAATAGTGCCACTTTAGCTGCTAGATTCTTCAGCCTGGTTCCTACACACGTCTTCAGAGTGCTTTCTAAATGCTTAGTCAGATCCATGGTAACTGTTTTCTCTTGCTGAAACATAAAAAAATATACCAATCAGTGAGAACTAATTAGGACACCATACTTCAAGCCTTCAAGTAACTTTTTAGGTAGACTCAAGCAAAATGTTTAGGGTTTAAAATATGTTATTGTCAGAACTGAATTAATTGTTGGACAGCTAATACTAAGTCTAGGACTCTAGTTGAAAGGGATAATTTTTAAACACTCCATAAAGCAATATGGGAAATGTGATATAAATGGTATTATGCAATTACTGCTTATTTTACTACGAACTATATAGTATTGTTATAATTTTGTTGACTATCAGTTGGGGAGGGCTGGGATCTAACCCAGGGCACCTGTACCTAGTACTTGTTTGAAGGAAGTGGAAAAGGTCAAAGTGATGGTGACACTGGGTGGTGGTGACAGGGTCTCACTGTGCAACCCTGGACAGTCTAGAACTCACTATGTAGACTAGGCGGACATCAAAATCACCTGTGTCTGCCCCAAGTGCTGGCACTAAAAAATGCATGCACCACAACACTCAACTCTAGTTTAACATCCTTATATATTAGCAATAGATATATACTCTTTTTTTGTAAACTTGGCTGGCATGGATATTGCTATATAGACCAGGATGGCCTCAGCCCCATTGAGATCTGCCTACCTTAGCCTCTCCAGTGCTGGAATTAAAGGTGTGTATGTACCACTACACACAGAAATAGACACATTCTTAAGAATGTGAAATACTATTAATTGTTCTTGTTTTGAAACATTACCTGAAGTATAGATTTAATAATAGATTCTTAAAAACCAAAGACTGTAAAAAAAATAGTGATGAGCAATGTAGAGATTAATCATTACTTATCTCTTTCTGGAATATTTGAGATTTTCCATAATGTAAAAGTTTTAGGGGCTGTAGAGCTGGTTCTGTCAGTAAAGTGCTTGCTAAACAAGTATGAGGACCTGAGTTAGGTCCCCGAATCCACTGAAAAGTCAAGCACCACAGTGGTCCACATCCGTAATGAAGCACTGGACAGGGGAGGCAGAAAAAAGGAGGATCTTTGGGGTTTGCTGTCCAGTCAGTCCAGCCAAATCAGCGTGCTCCAAGTTCAGAGAAAGGCCTGTCTCAAAAACTAAAGTGGAATGAGGAAAACATCTGACATTAACCTCTGGCCTCCACATATACGTTCACACACATGTAAATGCACCTGTACACAATGAACTCACAATTCAAGAACATGAGAGAAAATACAAATGAAAAATTTCAAACAGCCAATGAAATATACACATGGTTAGCTTGAAATACAAGAAAAAATTCTCCTCACATAAATATCGAGAGAGAATGGATGGAGACAGAGTAACAAAATAACAAATAAGAGCAGTAAGTGCACAAATTTCATAAAATAACTTTATCACAAGCCACTGATATACCTGAAGCTCTTGCGAAGTTTGTTCAACTTTCAATTCTAATGCCTTGTAATTTTCTAGAAGAACCTCTTTCTCTGTCTTAAGCTTTTCATTCTCTTCAATAAGTTTCTGGTCCTGTTTAATTTTTGCCAAGCTGACATTAGACCCTAAATTAAAATCACCAGCAGCCAAACTTTCCCTGTTAAAAACAAATTCACTCGTTTTTAAAAATATGCTAAGGCTATTGGAATTCAAAAACTGAAATTACTGTGGAATTTTATAACACATTTTACAATTAATTTTGGACACTAAAACCACTGCCTAACTCAACATTACAAAAAAAAATAATAATTGAAGCTGAGCATGTTAGCCCAAGTCTGAAATCCCAGAATTTGGGAGGCCAAAGTAGATTCTTACAAAATCTGAGGCCACCTTCAGCTATACACATTTGAGAGCAGTCTGGGCCATATGGTGAGACTCTGTATCAAAACATGAAAATAAATTATTTTAATGCAAGCTACGTTGTATTCACTGGGGTGCACTTCAAAAACAATGTCTCCACTCTCTTATATTCCAAATTCCATTTAACAGGATCACTCCAAAGAACATCATGAACAACAAATACAGTTCTTTTCTACTCCCTCCTCCCTTGCACCTTATTCGTTTAGTTCCTAATCAGTAAAAATCCACCAAACCTCCATGACATCATTGCTTGGATCACCCCAGGTAAGAATATAGGGTTGCAACCCCTTGAGTCAACCCTTTCATCAGAAATATCAGACATTTACATTACAATTCACAACAGCAGCAAAATTACAGGCATGAAGTAGCAACAAAAATAACTGTATGGTTGGGAGTCACGACAACAAGAGAACTGTACTAAAAGGTTGCAGCATTAGGAAGGTTGAGAACCACTGAGCTCAGTGTCAGTGGTTAAGAGCACTGGCTGCTCTTGTAGAGGAACCAGATTCACTTTCCTCCCAGCATCCACATGGCCGCTCACAACCTTCTGTAACTCCAGGCCCAGAAAATCCAAGGCTCTCTTCTGACCTCTGAGGGCACCAGACATGCATGTGGTGTAGAAACATACATGTAAGCAAAACACCAAACATAAAATAATATTTTTAAATAATATATTGGTATACAGGATATCTAGTCTGGCTTTCTGTCTCAAGTAGATAATTGAAAATTATCTAAAAGGGTATCTCAAATTACATATACCTGAGGTGACATATCATATTTCCTTTGCTCTTTTAATTATGTGGCATACATGAATAGAAACAGCATATCATACATCAGAAGTACAAAAATATTTGATCAGTTAAGAATTAAAAATACGGGTTGAGGGTAGAGAGCAACTGATAAAGTATAAGCCTTGCAAGCATCAGACCTTTGACCTCCAGCACAAAAAAAAAGAGTATTTTAAAAGACATGAACTCCTTATAGAGCAATTAAATCTCACCATAAACTCTCACATACAAGACTCCTTAAACAAATTTCCCTTATAGCCAGAGGAAAACATTCAATCTTTTTTCCCTTACAAGGATAGAGATTGCATTCAGGCTTTCTTGCCTAATAGGTATATACTCCCTTGAGCTACAACTCCTTTCCCAACTTCAATCTTATTGTAAGTTCTGAGCTTTGAAAAATGCAATAGTGGGGTATGTTTTATTTTTTATAAAGATATTCAAAAGAATTGGAATGAAAAGTTGGCAAGAGAACTTTAAACAATTCAAGAACAATTTTATTTTCCAACTAGTTTTTAAGGAAAATATCCCAGCTAAAGAACAGACGGAAAATGTTTGGGGGGGAAGGAATTATGAAAGACCACAGTCATAGGCATTGTTAAGGATTCCAAAAGTCCAAGAACTGAGTTCTATAAAAGCCACTACCATAAATTTGAAATCAATTAAACAGCACCACAGTTGTACTGGCCACTTTTGTATCAACTTGACGAAAGCTAGCTAACAGAGAGGAAGGAGCCTCAGTTGAGGAAATGCCTCCATGAGATCCAGCTGTAAGACATTTCCTCATTAGTGATCAATGGAACAGGGCCAAGCCCATAGTGGGTGGTGCCATCCCTGGGTTCTATAGCAAAACAGGTTGAGCCAAGCCATGAGAAGTAAGTAAGTAAACAGCTTCCCTCCATGGCCTCTGCATCAGCTCCTGCCTCCAGGATCCTGCCCTGTTTTGATCTCCTGTCCTGATTTCCTTCCATAATGAACAGCAATATGGAGGCATAAGTCAAATAAGCCCTTTCCTCCCCAACTTGCTCTATGGTCATGGTGTTTCGTTACAGCAATAGAAACCCTAACTTAAATCATCTTACTTTGGAAATGTCATGTGATTTCCTGCATTACTCTCATACTTCACATCAAGTGTCAGCCTCCCATTAAAATGCCCCTTTGGCCTGCTGAAGGTTGACTGATTGGATCTGCGCCCCCACAAGGGGATGGGATTCTTGAGGCTTCTGAGAGCAAGCTGACTGGGATCTGGTTTCTTTGCCTCACAGACATCAATGCCAGAGATGAGTCTGCATTTTTCTGCAAATCCTTTCTTTGCCACTTCTTCCCCGATGTCCACAGCGCCATACTCAGCCTGCGCAATGACTGTTCCATCTTGATAGGTTGCTTTAATTCTCATTTTTATTTCCTTTTCAAAAATCAAGCTTCCCAAAAATGTTCTCCCCTAAGAAAGATGGGGAAAAAACCACATTAATATTTTTCTTACTTTGTTTCCACTTGTTCCCAAGCATATTTCTTTCTCCTAAAATCTGCATACAAGTGGTGTGGAGGAACGGTGTATACACACACCTTGTAATTGACTTATGAACACATGTATCTGCATGAGCATGAATTATCCCAATGTTTGTGAAAACTTTTTCTAGGAGTAAAACTAGTGTTCACCCATATTCACAAATGTTTTAATGAATACTAATTAAATATCCTAGAATAATTTTTTAACTTAGCAGATTGTGTTGACTATCTTGGCTCCAACTAAATGCAATGATGTTTTTTGGTTTGGTTTGGTTTTTTGAGAGTTTCTTGAGAAGCCCTGGTTGTCCTCGAGCTCTCCCTGTAGACCAAGCTGGCCTCTGCCTCTCAAGTACCGGGATTAAAGGTGTGATACACCACCATCAGCTGTAGGGATGTTCTAAGGAACTTAATTTCACAAAGAATGTCTGGTACCTCTAAAAGGAGTTCAACAAAACATAAATCAGATACTTTGATTTTAAACTAAGACAAGAACATTTACACAATGGAGTATTACTCCACTGTAAGAAACGATGCCATCATGAAATTTGCAGACAAATGGATAGAACTAGAAAAAGTCATTCTGAGTGAGGTAACCCAGACCCAGAAAGACAAACATGGTATGTACTCACTTAAAAGTGGACATTAGAAGTAAAGCAAAGGATAACCAGACCACAATTCCTTGCTCCAGAGAAGCTAGGTAACAAGAAGGACCCTAAAAGACACAGGGATCACCCTGGGAAGGGAAAATAGATGAGATCTCCTGGGTAAACTGGGGGTGAGGCAGTAAAGGGGAAAAAATGAGAACATGAGGGAATGGGATGGTTGAGTTGTGGGAGGGATGGGGTAGGAGAGGAAGACTAGGGATTATATGAGCAAGGGGATCAAGATCATGACAGAGAAACCCACAGAGACAGTTGACCTGACCTTGTGGGAGCTCACAGACTCTAGACCTACAGCTGGGAATCCTGCATGGGATCCAACCAGGCCTTCTGTATGTGGGTGACAGTTTTGTAGCCTGGTCTGTTTGTGTGACCAGGATCTAATGCATGATCTGGCTTTTTTTTAAAAGTCTATCCTCTATGCTGGGTTGCCTTAATGGGGTTGGGGGGGACTCAGTCCTGCCTCAACTGAATATACCAGGCTTTGTTGACTCCCCATGGGAGGTCTTACCCTTTCTAGGGAAGGGGGGAAGAAGAGGGAAAGGGAGGGGGAGGAGAACTGTGTCAGTATATAAAATGAATAAAAATAAGATATAAAAAAGCTAACTTCACTTCTAAAAGAAGAAAAAACAGTCGACTCAAAATTATTGTATGAAACTAGTAAAGATAAATATTTTATTTCCCTAACTCTATAACAGTATATAGGACAGAAATAAAACCCACAGAAAAGGCCCAAACTTTCCATGTGCATGGGCTTTTGTCAGTCTACTGAACTATTTCTGGACTCCTCAGCAATTTTTAATGTATAAAATACATAGTACTACGAAAAGTATTTCATCTGTAGTTCGATTTACCAACGGACTAAGAACACTTAGGCCTAGAAGAATACATCTAAAGGATCAGAAGTGATCCAAACTATATATGCTAAAAGATCGCCAATCATCACTACTTTTTAAAAGACACATGGGGGGGATCGCTGGTCCTAGAGGAGAACTCACTGCTGTTGTTCTGCTAAATGGACATGTCAAACTGCCTTCTAAATATTATGCTTGTATCCATAGATTCAGTGAGACTCTCAACCTTGTTCAGATAAGCTGATTTTTGCAAAACATGAATAGAAGAGCAGGCAAAAAGTATAAAATCCAGAGGATGAGAAACAGAACCGTCTTCTGGATTTGACATGACCCTTGCACTCATGAACTCAGTAGCTGTGATTACCTCACATGACCTGCACAAGTTAACCCCAACAATACTCCACTATAAATGGGGAGTGGCAAATGAGGCCCTGCTTTAGATGAGGAGCATTAGCAGTTGGTGGCTGCTGGAGGTGAGGGAGTCATTTTTCTTCTACGGTGTAACCACGATCCAGTAAATAACCCCACACTGATACATATGCAAGCAATCTTAAATTTTCTAGGTAGCTGAGTTGTTGATTTTTCTTAATGGAAAGAGGAGGATGTATTGGGAAGAAGGGTTCCAGAGACAGAGAAAGGGCAATGGGGGAGTGACAAAGTATTTATATTAAAAGAGACATAGGCTTTATAAACTTTTCAAGCAGGAAATTTAGAAATACAAGCTAGGTGTGGTAGCAGGAAAACTGAGTAATTTAACTTCCCATCTCTCCTTAAGGCAAAGGCTACATAATCTGAGACAGTCTGAAGAAAATCAATCCCCAACGGACTGGCTTACCAAAGACACTAGCAATGCTTGGTTATGACCATCTGAAGTCCCCATAAATATCAGGAACTAGAAGGTCACAGAGGAGGAATGGATACCATTGAGAAAACTAGGACTAAGGGAAGTTGTGTTTGAACCCAGTTCACTGGGTCAATAGAACTATGTTTACAGAGGAGTTAAGAACAGGCTGAGCCTGCAAGGAGCTCAACACTAGTGTGGAGCGTCAGTGGCTTTGCCGAGTCCTCTGGTAGGACAAGACCCTTATGAAGTAGGAAAGGCCTTGGTAGATCTCAGTGACTTAGACCAACATGTAGAGATAGTTCACAAAGTGGTAGGGCAACCTAGAGGAGAAGTGAAATGGTAAAGCAGAGGAAGAGGACAAATGTGACAGGATTGGAGTCGAGCTGGAGTTCCTAAGGAGAAAGCTGACAGAAAGCCACAGTGTGCATGCTCAGGAGCTTCTGCCTGAGGAGCAGTTCACAGAAGGTGTCCTTGATAAAATGCAGGTGGAGCCCGGCGGTGGTGGCGCACACCTTTAATCCCAGCACTCGGGAGGCAGAGGCAGGCGGATCTCTGTGAGTTCGAGGCCGGGCTAGACCGATAGCCTCCGAAACAATACAGAGAAACCCTGTCTCGTAAAAACCAAAAAAAAAAAAAAATGCAGGTGGAGAAGGTCAAGCCTGTCCCAGGGTGAGAATCCCCCCAGACTAAGGAGCCCACATTTCCCTCCAGCAAAAGGTTATGCTAGGGTAGAAATGGTTTGCCCAGTCAGGAACTCCCCCAATATCCAGGTATGGTGAAGGGGCAGGCCAGAGGGATGTGCCAACCCAGGGCCACTCTGGCCCAGGGAGCCAGCAGGTACAGTAGGGTCACATTCACCTTTGGCCCTAAGTAAGTCTGAACAGATAAAGTCAGGCCCTCTGAATTTATCAGGTGTGGAGAAATATAGGGAGGTTCCCAGGAAAAGCTCCAGGATATGAAAAGTTTTAACAACTCAGAGAGAAGAAGTGAAGATTCCAGAGAACTAGTTAAGATCATGTGTACCAAACCCTGATTTGTGGAGGAAACAAATGGATGAAATCTTTCCATGCTGTATTAGAGCTTGCTTAGGTTCAACTTCTATCTTCTTAGTTGTGAGCTTCTGGATCACCTGACACTTTCTGAGAACCGATGGCAGCAGACTGAGTGTTTCACCCAAGTCATCTTTGTAACTCCACTATTTGTTACAAGATAGTAATTCAGGATATTGCCTTGTCCTACTCATATTCTGGAAAAGGTCTCCTTCTATAGATAACATAGTGCTAACCTCTAAGTATTTTGAAATTTTGGAAAGCCACTGAAGAGTCAACCAGGTAAAATAGTACTTTATCTACCTTACAACCCTACTGGGACTGAGTTAATTTTTAAAATCCAAAAGGTACACTACATGCATAAAAATGACACACGTGAGCCCCTAAAGTTATTAAATAAAAACTCCAGTGCCAGTAGTGCGCTACATTCCTGTGAGTTGCTGGAAATGGAAGCACCTAAGATCCTACACATCATTAAAAATTGTCACTGCCATTGGCTGTATGCCAGAACTAGATGGTAAGAATCTACTGCTAAAGATAATAAATGTGTGTATATGCTTTGACTATAGAACATGGAGAAATTAAGCTGGGACTAAATTGGAAATGCCCAGCCTGCTAGCTGGCTTCTGTACTGTCAGAGCAGGACATTCCCACTGCTGGTAGAAAGCTGTCACCACCACTCCTGCTTGACCATGGACCATGTATGTGTGCTAAAACACCAACATGCCAGGCAGAATGTGCCTACTTGTGCAACAATGGCTCTGCTATCATGGATGAGACCAACAGCCTCTGGATTGGATCCATTGCAAAAGAGGGAATTCATGTTTGGTACTGTAGCCAGTACAAAAACCTATGTCTAGGGAGGCTGTAAGTACCAAATCAGAAGCAACTTCTATAGGTTTTCTAGATGGATGTGATGCACCTGTCAAACTATCTTCTAAACATGTGTATTTACGCTCATAGATCACTGTTGCTATCAGCCTCAACTCATAACCACTGGGGAAGATGTTGAGTTCAAGTGACTGTTACTGTGATATGGTAGCCTATTTCTTAGCCATGAACACCTATAGTCAACTCCTCCAAGGCTCAGGATCATTGTCAAAGAGGACAGGAAGAATGTAACAGCAGGAGGAAGGGGTAGAGTAATGTCTAACAATTTCTGGGGAGATTGAAGCATTCCATTCTTCAAGAAGCTCCTTAAGTAGGAAAGCAAACAACAACTCAAAATAGCTTAAGTCGCTAAAACTGACCCGATTCACTGGGCCCCCGCCCTGCCAGAGTAAGCAATAAAGGCTGAGAGTCCCTCTCAGACAAGGATGCTGAATGGCAAAGACTATGATAAGATGAGATGAGATGAGATGAGATGAGATGAGATGAGGTGTGAGATGCCACAAAGACTTGGACAAGCTGAACTACTAAGAAGACTCTCAGAGGGGAAAAGCTGCAAAATAGACTCTGACACCCAAACAGCTGCCAGAAGCAGCAAAACCAGCCTAGCTGACTCCAAAATGTTTAGACCAACTGCGGCACCTGAACGCACACTCTCAGCTGTGGAGCTGCCTGCAGGCTGGTTGTGCAGTATGCTCCTAGTTCCCAGCTTTGTGAGGTGACACCTCTACCGGGGCTGACTTCAGTAATTCTTTGAGCCATTTCTACTCCTGTAAGTAACCCCAATAAAATTCACTGGCTCATCAAGTTGAATTTTCGTGGTATCCACACTTTGGTCTGTCATGGGATCCCTATCCAGCATGAGTAGACATATGTGTTGCATCCCCCGGAAAACAGAAGGGAAAAGGTTTACTTGCCTTACAATGCCAAGTTTCAGTCATCACTGCAGGGAAGTTGCCAAGCTGAAGCAGCCAACCACACCACATCCATGCTTAAAAGTAGCAATATACACATGCTGCCTGCTTGCTCTTCTCATCTAGCTAGCTCCTGCACTACATCAGTCAAGAGCCCCTGTCAAGGAATGGTACTGCCACAACAGATTTGATCTTCCTATGTCAATTAACAATAAAAACAGGCCCTCACAAACATGCCCACAGGCCAAATTGACCTAGATAATCCCTCAATTGAGACTCTCTTCCCAAGTTATTCTAATGTGTCCAAATACATTTAAAACTGTCACATTGCCTAAAACATAAATCTGATTATTTGCAGTACTAAAAATTTCAAACTACTGATATTTATGGGCAGGGTTAACACTGTTGAGGGGTGCTCCAGATTCACAAAAACAATGTTAACAGATTGTTTTTATCATATAAAATGCAATCCCTTTAAATTTTTACAGAAGAAACCATTCACATTTGTGTTATTTACTTACATATATAAAATCACTTATTTGATCATTAAATGAGTATCTAGCAAATATGAGAACAAATACATAATTTTATGTCTGTTTAGTAAGTACCAAGGATCAATCCCAGGGTCTGATCATACTAGGTAAGTGTTCTACCATGAACTGTTATCATAACTGAATTTTTTATAATTCATATTATCCACCAAAATATACAAGTTTTTACATTAACCAAAGCTAATGACATTTAACAGCGCATTTGCTTTCAAGTATATAGTTTCAAGTATAATACATTAACAGAAGTATTTAAATGTGTGACTTGCCTGATCAAACTGGGTAACTTCTTGGCCAGAAGGAATCTGTAGTCCCCAAAGTCTGTATTTCTTGGCAATACAAGAAAATTGCAGCTCCAGAGGAATTTCTACTATATCGGATCGGTTTAGAATTTCAGTATTTCCATAGTCAATGTACCTCACCAGACACTAGAAAAAATTGAAGGTAAACAGTAGTACTGAACCTAGATTACAAATCTGTTAACAAAACCTATAAATGTTACCTCAGATGACAAACAGCTCTAATAACAACCCCAAAATAAAGAAAATTCTGCATTTGGAACTAATTTCCAACAATACTATTTGTCATTTGTCTTTTTTAACCACTGGTATTTTTATACAAATATGACTATGCAGCATTGTAACCCTTTAAAATCTCTTAATATTAAACTCAATCTGCATTCTTAAATTCAAATTGGAAACAGTAAGGCCTATTTTTCCTCAGGAAAAAAAAATGTTCCTTAACAAAACCAAACCCACTCTGGCTAGACCTTGAAATTGACCAAATTCACCCTTACTTTCAGCTCTAAATCTATTTTTTTCAATCTTTCTGGAGGCTGCAGAGATAGCTCAGTGATTAAGAACACTGGCTGTTCTTCCTAGCACCCACATAGTGGCTCACAACCATCTGTAACTCCAGTTCCAAGGAATCCAACACCTTCTTCTGGCCTCTGAAGGCAATGCACACATGGCACACATACATACAAGCAGAGAGAGCTCCCATACACACTTTTTTTAATTTTAAAAACTTTCTAAAAGTATATTACAAAGTCAATCATCATCTCATGCCTTAATTTAAAATCTTCGTCAATCTAAAAATTAAGTGCAAGTCTTCAACTGTCAAATTATGGGAAAAGTTAGAAAATTTAGTTTCACAAAGATAAAATAATCTATAGCAATATCAAATATTTTAAAAGCATAAACCAATCACAGAAATAAAACTTTTCAACTTAGCATTTTATCAAGAAAAAATATTACCAAATATACACATTATGAAATATATTTATGTCTAGAAAACAGAAAATTACTTCAAGAACACCTGCATAACTGTTTCCATGAGCCCACAATGTACATTTGTCCCAAACAGAATAATAATCTCATCTCACTTAGGAGGAAGATTTGTTGGGAGGAAAAAAGGAGTTGGCAGGAGTAGGAAGGGAATAAGACAGGATAATGGGAGAAATGAATATTACCAAAGTACATTTTTACATATGCAAGAAACTGTGAAATAAAAATAAGTGAATAAATCTTCCACAACCTTTCAATGTAAGAAATAAAACAGTATGACACAAAAGAATTTAACTTAAGGATTAGAAGTGAAAAACAAATATTCATTGTAAACTATATTTGACACCAAACACAAAATACACCTAACTTCCAGATCAAATAACTTTTCTTTTTCCATTCAACAATTTTTTTTTTTGGTTTTTCGAGACAGGGTTTCTCTGTATTGTTGTGGAGGCTGTCCTGGAACTCGCTCTGTAGACCAGGCTGGCCTCGAACTCACAAAGATCCGCCTGCCTCTGCCTCCTGACTGCTGGGATTAAAGGTGTGCGCCACCAATGTCTGGCCTATTCATCAATCTTAATAAAATGAACTTTAAAAGTTACTTACTATCAAGAACCATTAAGACACAGGACATAAAGAGCCAAAAAATCAGCAAAAATAACCCACAAATTTTTTTCTATTTTTGAATTTCCTTATTATTTATGTGTATTGTATTTTGTTGGTATGTATGTATGTGTACCACACATGTACATGCTGCCTGAGAAGGCCAGATAAGGGCATTGCGCTGGAACTGAAATTACAAATAGTTGTAATCCCAGATGTGGGTATTAGAAACTGAACCCAGGTCTTCAGGAAGGATACCCGGTGCTTTTAACCACTGTGCCATCTCTCCAGCCCTGTATTGTCTATTTTTAGACAACCTGATGACTGTACAGAAACTTAAATTCAGAAGAAATTACTTAAATTCACCAGAAAAAAGTTTTCATAAATTTTAAGTTTACTAAACTGACATTATCACTACCAAAAAGCAATAATAGACTCAATAAGCATCAAGTTTCAGAAGCAAAGGCCAGCAAGACGGCTTAGTAGGTGAGGGCTCTTGCTGTTAAAGCTGATGACCTGAGTTCAATCCCAGGGCCCAGATAATGGAAGGAGAGAACCAACTCCCTCAGGCTGTCCTCAAGCCTCACAAATGTTTTTCACTGTGTCACTCTCATGCCCACATACATATATACCACACATAGAAAAATAATTGCAAAAAACTAAAAACTACATTTTTTAAGTTTTAGAACCAAAATAAACATTCCTTAAGCCCAAAAATATGAATATATATTTCCTGCCTTATCATCACTGATGGTTTTTAGCACTTTGCATCTGTACCAACACTTATCTTCAGAAAACAATCCACCATAAATCTGTGGAAGAAAAAGAAACATTTGTCATTTAATGAAAAGCACACTAACGAGGTCAGGATATAAGTTAGCATTGTGCACTACTGTGTGTGATGAATATAACTTATCTAACCCTCCAAATATGCCTGTGAGGTAGGTACTTTGTTTATACCACTATGAATCCAAGCAGCACCAAGATTTAAACTTCTCACTCTAGAGCCCATTATACTAGACTACCTCTGAAAACATATATTTTTTAAAGACCACCTTATGGTCTTCTGGAAAAGGACAATATTCAGCTATCACAATCAAGTACTTACAATAACCACATGACTGTACTGCATCTGTACAAGCACAGGCCCATCAACAAGCAGGCATACAATTAGGGGAGGCTCAGGAAACCCTATGTCATTAGTGCACAGTCTCTCTGGTTCTATCAATGAACAGTCCCTGGCGTTCAGTGTATCTACTAGTAACCCCACCAGGCTCCTATGCTCACACAGATTTCCCTGGGTAAAACTAACTGGGTCACAATACAAAACCAAAAGTCCAGCATCTTGGAAAGGCACAGGTAAGGAAGAGGATAATAGGGATAGTATGGAGAGACAGTGACCAGAATACATTACAAACATATATATGAAATTGCCAAAGAACTAAATTAAATTTTAGGGCAGCCTGCAGGACAAGAAAAAGGCCATGGAGGAATGCAGAAATCCAAGGTGACTCTCATGAAAGGTCTCACAACCTCCCCTCCCCTACATGCCAGAATCAAGAACACAGAGGCTGCAGAGACCAACAGTTCCTACTTGCCCCTCACATACCTAGGAGCCTGTCAGAGTCAGAAGAGTCAGAAGACATAACCTTTCAACGCAGCACAGCTGTGCCAGCAATTCTCCATGAGTATTCTTTTTATTTCTGATTATTATTTAATCTGCATTCTCGCTTCTATGTCTCCTGACAATTTCCTTTTGTCTGTATTCTGTTCAAGCAGGTTCATGACTGCCGTCCACCAGTCCATATAAAGCACTCTCGACTACACTTTCCTTCCGCCTCTCATAACACCTCCTCTATTGCCTGCATCTGCCTTTCATCTTTGTCACCTCTTATTTTTATTTCTTAATTACAATATTCCATAAATTTAACAACTCCTACTATCTATGGACCCTAACAGTACCCCAATTTTCACTTCCTAGTTACTTTATACACATTGTTTTTCTTTTCAAAATAAGTCTACTACTGTGCTGGCTAGATTATGTCAACTTGCTACAAACTGTAGTCATCTGTAGGAGGAACCTCAATTGAGAAAATGTCTCCATAAGAGAGTGGTTCTCAACCTTCCTAATGCTGTGACCCTTTAATGAAGTTTCCCATGCTGTAGATGGTTCTTTATATTTGGAAGTGAAGAGCTGTAAAGGGTGTTTGCCATCATCCCTTTTGGCATCACCCATTAAATGCTATAGCACCACCTCCAGTTGTGACAACCAAAGCAATCCTTCCACTGTCAACTGTCTCCTAAAAGTGTTAATATAAGATACAAAACTCACTCCAGAGTGATAACACTTAAAAACAAACATTCTCAGTTGAGACAATACTGTCACCATGGAAACAAAAAGTAGATTTGGAAGAATACCATACAAAGGAAATCTTAGTTATTACAATCATTCATGGATCTTCTAAATTCTACCCTACCTGACAACATATACAATTTATCAATAGTATGATATTATAATGTCTTGTTGGATAAGCCCCACTAAGAAAAAAGATTAGTCTAAAATGTTTCTTAAGAGGAAATAATGAAAGCAGCCAGCAAGCTTAGCCAAAACAATTGAGCCCTAGCTTCAATGACAGACCCTATCTCAAAAAAACAAAACAAAACAAAACAAAAAAACTGAAGTGGAGAGCAATAGAAAAGACACACTCAATCTCTGGCCTCCACAAGTACAGACAATCATCTCTCTCTCTCTCTCTCTCTCTCTCTCTCTCTCTCTCTCTCTCTCTCTCTCTCTCTCTCTCTCTCTCTCTCTCACACACACACACACACACACACACACTCCCTTGCCTTTCCCTCTCCCTCTGATTCCCTTCTCCTCCTTCTCTTCTCCTTCCTCCTCCATTCTCCCATCTCTCTGTAAGTGAAGAGCTGAAGCAGAAGAGAAATCACATACCAAAAAAGAAAATATTGATACAGATAGGATTTCAAATGATAGCCAGAAGATAATCAAGTTAGCCACAGACTAGGAGCAAGTATTAGTCACACATATATAAGACAAAAGACAACAATATAGAGGGTTAAGATGCAGCTCTTTTGGTAGAGGTCTCACTAAACATGCACTAGACCCACACTTGGTCAAGAGTCTTCCATATGTAGTTTATATCAGAATTTCTGTCCATAGTTATCTTTAATAAATAAATTTGCTATAACTGTAGTTTATAGAAATTCTGAAATCTGTCTTTTCTGTTCAATAGGCCCCAAATTCCAAAATATATGAATTCCAAAATATAGAAAAGAAGACATGCAAGATGAAATGATTATATCCAGGAATAAAGCATACCTTCTTTGGATCAAGATTCCCAAAAACTGAATTAGCATGAGGACAAACTTCAGATAATGAGCAACCGATCTTCACAATATCCTTATTTCTACTAACATTCTAAGAAGAAAACAGAAGTATGATATTCAATAAATCCTAATGGTATTATATATAATAACTGAGGAGACTACTGAGCATAAAACTTAAAGGATTTAGAGCACGAGGTATTAGAGCAGATTCTTGTGCTATCGTTTTCATAATTCAAACGAGTTCTTAGAAGAAATGATATTAAACTACATGAAATTTACTAGCAACAAACTCAGGTCACTTATAATTCAAATAAAGTGTCAAATATTATTAAATTATGCTAAGCAAGTTCCTTAGAGACTGGGCAATTCCAGTGCTGGTGGCAACAGAAAATAAGAAAAGTCATCAAAGAGGCTGTATGAGTCGGCACTCCCACCAGCAGTGGAGGAGTGTTCCCCTCTGTCCACATCCTCTCCAGCATAAATTGTCTTCGGTGTTTTTGATTTTAGCCATTCTGACAGGAGTAAGATGGTATCTCAGAGTTGTTTTGATTTGCATTTCCCTGATGGCTAAGGATGTTGAGCACTTTAAGTGTGGGAATTAATCTACCACTAGACCCAGCAATTCCACTATTAGGCATATATCCAAATGAGGCAAACTCATACAACAAGGGCATCTGCTCCACTATGTTCATAGCAGCATTATTTGTAATAGCCAGAACCTGGAAGCAACCTAGATGCCCCTCAACTGAAGAGTGGATAGAGAAAATGTGGTACATTTACTCAGCAGAAAAATACAATGGAATCTTGAAATTCGCAGGTAAATGGATAGCACTGGAAGAAACCATCCTGAGTGAGGTAACCCAGTCGCAAAAAGACAAACATGGTATGTACTCACTAATATATGGATTTTAGACATGGATCAGGATAGTGCCAGTCTGCACTTCCACTGATAGAGAGTCTGGGAAACAGGAAAGAACCTAAAAGATATGCATATATGCATAGTACCCAAGAGAAGAGGATTGAGACAAGATCCTCTGAATGGATGGGGAACACGGCGAGGGGTGGGGGGGGAGTGGGAGCTGGGAAGAAGAGAGGGGGAGAAGAGGAAGAGAGTTGGTCATGGGGAAACAGGAAGTTGAGGGGGTGGGGGTAGAATAGGGGGAAGAGAGAATCATAGGATAGAAGACAGATCAGGCAGCAGAGTGACCTCGAGTGATCTAAAGGGATAACACCAATTGGCAAGCTAAGCAATAGTGGAGAGACCACCTCGAATGCCCATTCCTGATAATGAACTTGATGTCTATAACCATCCGGGAGCCTTCATCCTGTGACTGATGGAAGCAGAGGCAAACACACAATTAATCACTGAACTGAACTCAAGGAACCCAGTGACAGACAGAGAGGAGTGATGAGCAAATTGGCAAAGATTGGGCTGGCAAAACCAGCAGAGACAGCTGATCTGAACAGGGGAGAGCTCTTGGACCCCAGACCGACAGTGGAGAGGCCAGCATGGGACTGATCTGGACCCCCCCAAATGTGAGTGTCAGCAGCGAGAAGGCCTGGGCAACCTATGGGGCCCTAAGCTGTGGATCAATGTCTATCCCTGGAATACAAACAGTCATCGTGTGCCTATAGCACAAAGAGGGATGCTCTCTCAGCCTGGACTCTTAGGGGAGTGCCTGGACCCTACCCAGAGTGAAATGACAGACTCTAGATATCCCCTATGTGGAAGGATTTGGCAATAGGGTGGGAGGGTGGGGAGGAAGGGGAGTGCGGGAGGAGGGGAGGGACAAGGAACTGGGATTGACATGTAAAACAAGCTATTTAAAATTAAAATAAAAAATGATAACAAAAAAAGGAAAGTGATCAAAGGAAGAATAAGACATGTTTAAAAGACATGAAACCAACAATTAATAAATGCAGCAGGAATAAAGAAAATTGAAAGAAAAGAAAACTGAAAGGCTAGTAAAATACTAAGAAAAGACAAAAAATTACAAGTGAAAAGAAGAAACAAAACTAATCAATGCAGTGTATCTCTCTCTAAAGCATTTGTTAATTACAAAATAAAAATATTGGGTTTTAAATGAACATTCCAACCAAGTAGATTAAAACTAACATAACCAGAAAGATATGACATCAGGAACCCCAATACAATGCACACTGGACACAATATCATCTTTGGGTATTTTGGCCAATTTATGAGAAATCATCAGATAAACCCATAATAAAGATATTCTATAAAAATACTAAGATTCATCCAAAACATCCAAAGTCAGGATACCTGACACAGGTTAGAGGACTCTTAAAGACACAACGAGGATCTTAGAATGGATCATGGAATGGGGGAGGGCTGAAATTTGAAATAAAGGCAATGCATAGTTCAATTAACAGTACTATGCCAGTATTAATTTTCTGGCTTTTGTTCTGTGTTGTGGTTATACAAGAAATTAGTATTCGAGGAAGCTGAGTGAGAAGAACACAAAAAGCCTTTCTATTAATTTTGTAATTTTCCTGTGAGTTGATTTCAAAGTAGAAGAAATTAATTATAAACTGGGAGTGGCACTGCACACTTGAAACCCCAGCACTTGAGAGGTAGCAATACATGGGGATCTTGAGTCTGAAGGCAGCTGGGCTCTGCAGTGACACGCTGCCTCAACAACCAAAACGAAATCAAGTATCAACAGACACACATCACATCAAGCTTTATATAAACACAAGAATAAAATATTCAGTGGTGATAGAAAACCTCTCAAAGAACAGTTTTTAGACATCATGATGAATGTCAATTTCATCATTCAAAAAAGGAACTAGGAACTTCAGTAATAGCACAGTTGGTAGAACATTTGTCTAGTATGCATGAGGCTCAGGTTCAGTCCCAACCAAAAAAAAAAAGCAACTAAATTTAAATTGACCTTAGGAAGCATTTGAGGCAATCCTTGGAATCTGTAAATAAAGGTCAGAGTATATCTAAATATTCCAGTTATTCACTGTCAATACACAGACTACATAATGGAAGTTGCTTTGAAAGAAAAAAAAACAAATAGATGTGGCACACACCTTTAATCCCAACACTCGGAGGCAGAGAGTCAGGTAGTCTACATAGTTGAGTTCCAGGCCAGACAGAGCTACACATTGAGATCCTGTCTCAAAAATAAATACACACACACACACACACACACACACACACACACACACACGGAAAAAAAGGAGGAAAAGAGCTGCAATTCATCTAAGAATGCCAACAATCCAGAAGTATTCTCTTTTGAGCGACACATCTGGCAGAAATAAGGAAGGGGAAGCAAACAACAGATCTTTACCCTGGTTTGCCTGTTTCCAAATCTCTACTTATGTCTCTGAGCTCATCTCACCCTACCTCACCAAGATTTTTATGATTTGCATCCTGGGATAGGCATTAGATGTATAAAAACAGCATGCGTCGTTTTAATCTTCTTAATCCAGTAGTCATTTAAGGAATGTTTAGTTTACATTTCTGAAGGAGCCTCAGGTTGAGCCTTCAGGCTGATGGTTGAAATAAGAAGTGGGTAAATTACACTGACCTGCTTCGGTGAACAAAGTTTATTGGGTGACAATATATACATTCGTTCACATGCTTTCTATGGCATCTTTTATACTACAATAGTAGAGATAACAGATGAATAGTTACAACAGAGAATCTATGATCCATTAATCATGTGATATTTACTATCTGGTCATTTACAAAAGTTCTACAACTCCCAGTTTAGGTAACAGCCCCGATTTCTAATGTTTTATTTTTATTCATGAGTATATGGCTCTGTGTCTGTCAGTGTTACCAAGAGTCAGAAGAAGCTGTTATATCCCTGAAAGTGGACATACAGGCACTGTGAACGGCCTGACATGGGTGCTGGGATTTGAACTAGCATCCCCTGGAAGAGCGATAAGAGTAATAATTTTAACCACTAAGCCATCTCTCTCCAACCCAAATTTATTTTTATTTTATGGGTATGAGTGTTTTGCCTGACTGTATCTCTGTGCACATGTGCTTGGTGCCAAGAAGGCCAAAATCCCCTGGAAAGCATCAAATCCCCTGAAGCTGGAATTACAGAGGACGTGAGATGCCACATGGGTGCTAGGAAGGGACTGAAGGTCCTCTGCAAGAACAACAAGTGCTCTTAACCTCTAAGCCATCTCTCTAGCCCCCATAACTCCAAATTTAACCAACTAATGGCTTAGATGAGTGGAAAGAAAAGTCTGTAAGTACATTACAAGGAATACATAGCAATTCTCACTTGAAATGTGGCAAGTCCGACTCAGTGCATACTATAGACCTATACACTGGATTGCAAAGATGTAATAAGGCTGGGGGTAGTGGAGCACGGCTTTAATCCTAGCACTCAGATGTAGTGATATAGTTTATGATTTATTAAAACCACTGGAGATCAAAATAGCAAAGCGGCCATACTCCTTAGTCATAAAAGCCAGGCAGCAGTGGCAATCCTGTCTCCACGAATCCTCAGAGGCAAAAAGCTCTTAGTTCCTGTCTCCTCCTCCTTATATTCCTTTCTCTGCCCACCCATATCCTCCTGTCTCCACCTCTCTAGTGCTGGGATTATAGGCATGAGCTTTTGTTACTCTTTTAGACTGATTCAATCTCTTGTAGCCCTGGGTGGCCTTGAACTCTGAGGTCCATCTACCTCTTAATCCTGAGTCCTGGGATTAAAGCTGTGTACCATCACTGCCTGACCTCTATAGCTTGTGGATGACTTTGCTTTCTGAATCCTCAGACAAGCTTTAATGAATCTAAATAATATATCACCATACTCAGAGGCAATCTGAGAGTTCAAGGCCAGCCTGGTCTACAGAGCTAGTTCCAGGAAGAGTCAGAGCTACACAACAAAACAAAAACAGATGTAATATAAAAAGAGGAATACAAAATATCTTGTTCATATTGTATACCAGTTGTGTGAGTGCACTTTCTTCTAGCACTCACACACACTAGGCAAGTACTAAAATAACCAAACCACATCCTTAGTTCTTATTTTATTGAACAGAATCTGACTAAACTCTCAAGCTGGCTGCAAACTCAGTATCATTTTGGTTCCGCCCAACAAGTGGCTGAGATTACCATGCCCATTTTGCTGATTAAATTTTGAAACAATATTTGGATATATTAAAGCTAATTTTACCTATTCCTTTTACTTGTTCCAATATGGCTGCTGAAGCTAGACTTACTCATAGGGCTGGCTCACTCTGCATTTCTACAGTGAGAGCAATGATCTAGGAAGCACCATCAGAATTAATACATACATACAGTTCCTATAAAATAAAGCTAAAGGTATAATTTGTCATTCAATGTAAGGCACCACTAAGTGGCACATGTGCTCTTAAAAGACAACACAGACCCACAACATGAGAGTACCATTTAAAAAGTATGTGCACAACTGGGAAGATGGCTCAGCTGTCAAGCTCTTGTTGCTCTTCCAAAGGAACAGGTTCAATTCCTAGCACCCACAGGGCAACCCACAATGGTCTGTAACTCTAGTTCCAGAGGATGCAATACCCTCTTCTAACCTCCATGGACACCAAGTTGTGAAGAAACATAAATACTGGCAAAACACACATACACATGAGTTTTTAAAAAAATAATAATAAAGTTTGTGCTTAAGTATACAATTTACCACGAATTCTAATTTTTATAGTTTTTTAAAGAAACTTTTGTTAAAGATTATGTATATAGTGTTCAGCCTGCATGTATGACTGCATATCATAAGGCACCAGATCTCATTATAGACAATCGTGAGCCAGTGTGTGGTTGCTGGGAATTGAACTCAGGACCTCTGGAAGAGGAGCCAGTGCTCTTAACCTCTGATTCATCTCTCTGACTCATATTCTTCTGTAGCTCCTTACAACTTCTGTTTACACACTGTACTCTTAATCTCATCAAAAAAGAGTTCCCAGACCATAAGAAGTATAAATGTGATTTTCTTCCCTACCTTACCATGTCTAGTTAGTAAGATAAAAAATTCATTAGAAACAACACATTACAGAGATTCACCTCTTAAAATTTGATACCCAAGAACTTTGGCTCTATTTGGTTTTGTTGTTGTTGTGTTGTTTTGCTGAGAAAAGGTCTCTCGGTGGAGGCCTGGTTGTTCATAGACTCAGAGATCTGCAGGTCTCTGCGACTCACATGCTGGGATAAAAGGGCTGTACCACCATGCCCTGCTTAACTTTGTATTTAAAACTAAATATACTTACCTGATTTTCAATCTATCATTGAAATCAGAAATATTTCATTAATGTCCAAATTTCATAATTACATACTTACCTCACGTGAAAATGTAGACCATTAGAATGAACTTGTTTAGTTTTCATCTCCCAGTGTCTAGAATATGGAGCTTTTCCTTTCCCTGTCTTTATCCCTTTAAAATCTACCCCCATCTGATAGTCTAGAAACTTTCAAGAAATGTCTTGACATGGCAAAGGAGTATTCAGAATGGCCACATGTTTGACAAATCATCGGAGCTTCCTCACAATATAACTTCTCAAGACAATGCTGTCCCAAATCCCAACTTGGCAGAGGGGAAGTGGACATGAAAAGTCTCACGCCTTGCACAGAAGATACTCAAAATTGATAGCTCCAGACAAAGAGAAAGTCAGTGTTTTTAACAGAATGATACTGGATATATCAATCACATTCCTAAGCAGGCCTGGTGCTCAGGAGTATCCAACAAACACAAATTGAATACCATGCGTTTCTGTTTTGTTTTTAAGAGAATGAACTTCTAGCCGGGCGTTAGTGGCGCACGCCTTTAATCCCAGCACTTGGTAGGCAGAGGGAGGCGGATCTCTGTGAGTTCGAGGCCAGCCTGGTCTACAGAATGAGTTCCAGGACAGCCTCCAAAACAATACAGAGAAACCCTGTCTCGAAAAACCAAAAACAAAAAAGAGAGAGAGGGAGGGAGGGAGGGAGGGAGGGAGGGAGGGAGGGAGGGAGGGAGGGAGGGAGGGAGGGAGGGAGAGAGAGAGAGAGAGAGAGAGAGAGAGAGAGAGAGAAAGAAAGAAAGAAAGAAAGAAAGAAAGAAAGAAAGAAAGAAGGAAAGAAAAGAAACAGCAAAGCTACCCCAAACCTCCAGCAATGGAACTGTTAACTTTATACCAAGAAAGTTGGTGAAACACAAAATTTCTGAGTGAGACTTAGACCTAGGCCAACTTGGAAAATTGCTGCTGTGAGGCCTAAAGTTCTTCTGAGATGTCTGTTAGTCCATGTAGTCCAAACTGGTCCATGATTGGATCAAGGACAAAAATGGGGGGAGAGGGAGGCAGTAGACCACAGTATGTTGAATAAAATTCTCAAAAGAATAAAAATGGGAAAAATATCGTGAATGTGTTGAAGACACACCAAAAAAAAAAGTCAGAAAGTTAAGTTGTTGTTAATCAAGTGTTTTGAGTAATTTTAAAAAAGGGTTTTTCAGGAAACAATCTTACAAAAGACCTCTAGATGGGGCTGTAACTTCACAAATACAACAGTATGTGGCTTCCTGACCCTATTAAATATAATTTTGAAGTTCCAATCTTGACACTTTTCTTGTTTAATTCAGATGTATTACAAGCATATTACTCAACTTAGGAAAACTACAAGTTGTGGTCAATTGTCTTTGTGTCTTGTGCTACATGATTTCATCAAAATTAGGTAATGAGAATGAAAACAAAAATACATTTGTTTTAGGTTTTTATTTTGCTTTTGTTGAAAAAAGCTTGGACTAAGAAAAAGGAAAATATAAGAGAAAAACCAGCCGGGCAGTGGTGGCACACACCTTTAATCCCAGCACTCGGGAGGCAGAGGCAGGCGGATCTCTGTGAGTTCGAGGCCAGGCTGGACCGACAGCCTCCAAAACAATACAGAGAAACCCTGTCTCAAAAAACCAAAAAAAAAAAAAAAAAAAAAAGAAGAGAGAAACCAACCAAGCTTCTATTTACCTGGGCCCAAAATGTTACTGCATCTTCTACATGACTTCCAACAACATCTTCAACTAAAATAAAATCACAATGCAAAAAAAAATTAGAACTTAGTATTATTTAGTTCTTATATTCCCCAAATAATATTTAATGACAGTACCTTTATTGTAATGTGTATCTTCATCCATTTGGACAAGTCCTGAAAAACTAACAATTCGATACCTTGAATTAGGTTTTAATATCTATTAACAATGGAAAAAATCTAAATCACATATGGTTTTTTGCTTTTTGTTTGTTTGGTTTTTTTGGTTTTTCAGAGACAGGGTTTCTCTGTATTGTTTTGGAGGCTGTTTTGGAACTCACTCTGTAGACCAGACTGGTCTCAAACTCAAAGATCCGCCTGCCTCTGGCTCCCGAGTGCTGGGATTAAAGGTGTGTGCCACCAATGCCTGGCTCTATGTTCAAATTCTTAGAAGTGTTTATCCTAATGGGGCTATCAAAACTAGAACTCTATCCTAAAAATTGTCTTACATGCATTTTTCTCATGATTGTTTCTTGTATTTATTCTGAATACATTGTAGTTTTCAATGTCGAACTGTATCATGCCTATCCCTATCATTATCTTTAGCCAAACTTTTACAGATTTACATGTAAGTTAACTCACACACATTTTGGTCACTTAATAAATCAATACTCTGGAATAACATGCACATTCTTGTGCTTGTGTTCATGGGTACAAGCAAGTGTGTGTGTGTGTGTGTGTGTGTGTGTGTGTGTGTGTGTGTGTGTGTGTTTTGTCTGCATATGTCTGTGGACCACATGCATGAAGTACATGCTGTAGACCAGAAGGGGATTTCATCAGATTCACTGGCATTGGAGTTACAGCCAGTTGTGAACTACCATGTGTTTCCAGACACCTAAGGTTCAACTTCTAACAAAACCATGCTGTAGGAGGTGAAGTGAACCCCAGTCCTCTAGAAAAGCAGCCAGCGCTCTTAACTGCTGAGCCCTCTAGACCCCACATTCTTAAAAAATAAAATGAAAAAAGAATACAAGGGCTGGAGAGATGGCTCAGTGATTAAGAACACTGACTGTTCTTCCAGAGGTCCTGAGTTCAATTCCCAGCAACCACATGGTAGATCACAACCATCCATAATGAGATCTGGTGTCCTCTTCTGGTGTGCAGGCAGAACACTGCATATGTAATAAATAAATAAATCTTTAAAAAAAATTCTCAAACAAGAGAAAGACTCCCACAATAAAGCAAAGAAAAATGCTGCAAATGTCTGATACTGTCATCTATCTTTTTAAAAATACCCTGGAATTAAAAACTGAAATATATCAAATTTTGCCTATTACTTCAAAAATCATTTCATTACATATTTTAACTGAAAAAAATCTCAAAAGATTCTTTACACTTTTATCTCAACACACCAGAAATCACACTTTCCACTCGTGAATCTTAAAATGATATAAATATGTAATATTTCACAGTACTCAATTCCAACTGACTTTATTTCCTTCTCAAAAAGGGCACAGAAGGTATTTATCAACAGCCTCCACCCTCTAACGCTGTAGGGCTTGGGGGGGGGGGGGACTATAGGATTAGTTTATCCTTCAACTTTAAAGTAAATATTCCACACATTACAACACACAGGGGGAAACTTAATTTTTCATAAAACTGCCTTTAAAACATAGGAAACACATTTTTTGAGAGCTTTTAAATTATTTAAGAACACCTACATCACCGGGCGGTGGTGGCGCATCCCTTTAATCCCAGCACTCGGGAGGCAGAGGCAGGCAGATCTCTGTGAGTTCGAGGCCAGGCTGGACCGACAGCCTCCAAAACAATACAGAGAAACCCTGTCTCGTAAAAAAAAAAAAAAAAAAAAAAAAAAAAAAGAACACCTACATCAAAGTTTCAAATGTTCCCAACTTTGAAAGGAGAAATTAACTCATCACTGAAAATAACAGGGTAACAGGGTTAATTTGTTTAAAAAAAATTTAAACTTTCAATTTTTGTCTAGCTTATTTTTTTTTCAAATAGTGTCACAGAAACATCTTCAAATTGGGATCCTTTACAACAGGTGAAAAGGTAGTTTTAAAATTCAACTGTCTGAGAAGCTGTAAAACAAAATTGGAATCTGTTTAGAGAAATTGTTTCTCACCATGTTTTGCTTTGCTTGTTTTTGTTTTCTTTTGGTTCTTCGAGACAGGGTTTCTCTGTATAGCCCTAGCTGGCCTCGAACTTGCTCTGTAGTCCAGGATGGCCTCCAACTCACAGAGATACACCTGCTACTGCTGTGTTCTTGGTAAAAATTAAAAGTTTACTTTGGAACTCCTGCCACATGGTTTAATAAACTGTTTTCTAGAATTGTTTTAAATAGTTGTGGGAGGGTTGGTTTTGGTTTTCGTTTTTTTGTTGTTGTTGTTGTTTGGTTGGTTGGTTTTATTTATTTTTGTTTGGGTTTTTGTTGTTGTTGTTGTTGTTGTTGTTTGGTTGGTTGGTTGGTTGGTTGGTTTTTTCGAGACAGGGTTTTGGAGGCTGTCCTGGAACTCGCTCTGTAGACCAGGCTGCCCTCGAATTCACAGAGATCCTCCTGCCTCTGCCTCCCGAGTGCTGGGATAGAAGGCGTGCGCCACCACCGCCCAGCTTAATCAGTTTCACTTGAAAGACTGGCCAAGGTAGTTTCAAGGCAGGAAAACGGCTGTAAGCAGAGGTGGACGGCCTAATGGTGGTTGGAATCTCACCTTGAACCGAGACTAGGGGGGCAGCAGAAGGAAGCCCCAACACGCTTGCCTTCTGGGGGAAGCCTGGAAGGTTAAACCCCAGAGTCGGCCCCGGGCAGGGGAAGAGACAGCCCACCCAGGGGGCCGCCTCGGGAAGAGGCCGGGGTGCCATCGAGCTCGCGGGGCGGGGGCCCGAGGGCGGCGGGAGGCCTGGCGTTGGGGAATAGGCCTCACTCCCGACCGTGAACCCTAAGACGCCGGCAGCGCGGACAACGCCGCCCCGGGAAGCGGGCCCCACCACCCCAGGCACCGGGACTACGACTAACCTCACACTTTCCGCCTCGGCCGGACCAGCAAAGAGCCGCTGACCCCACATGCCAGGCGCTCCTGTCGCCCGCCCACCGTGCAGGCCAGCCCTCTGCCGCTCTTACCGCACGAGCTTCCGCACCTCCGCGCCCGCACTGCGCCTGCGCGTGCCTGGCGGCGCCGCCTCGGCGGAGGGGGCGCGGTGGCCGTCACGTGACCGAGCGGCCGCCAGGCCTCGAGCACCACGAGGCTGACAGGGCCGCATGCTGCCGCCGCCCACACAACTCCGAGGGCCCGTGCGCCTCCTCGTGCGCTGGGGATTTATAGGACGCGCCCCCTCCGCCCCCACGCACCTGCCGGCCAATGGCTGCCTCCTCTCACCAGTGACGTAAAGCTGTGGCAACGTGGGCTTGCGTGGGTTTTCCGCGTGTGTTCACGGGGATTGAAACCATAAAGAAGAAAAAAGGAAAAAGGAAAAAAAAAGTCAAAATTGGGAGGAACCAGATGCTGTTTCCCCAAGGTGGGACAGAAAAAGCTTGCCAAGTGGACAGTACCCTTTTCAATTGCTTGGGGGTGGGGTCTTTTTTGCTCAGGACATTAAGAGGGGAGGGGAATTTGTGTAGCTGAGCTATCCCGTTTAACGCCAAGTGTTAGACACGTGACCCAAACTTTGCACACCTGAAAACCATCTCTTGATGATTTGTTTTGCAAAGCTGCGAACTGAACCCAACTCTTCCCGCAAGGTCAAACCGTTGAGCTACACCCCAGCCCTCCAATTATTTTCTAAAACTTGAAGTGTAATTTGCATTAGCTGCAGATACCAGTATTTAATATGTTTGTGCACTATTGACGTCATCCCCACAATAAAACATTTCCATCAGCTTAGAAAGTTTCCTCATGCCCATTTACAGTAACATGGCTCTCCTTCCTGTTTCTGGATACTGAACGTTAATCTTAATTTTCTGAAATTGTTAACTGGATCATATATAATGATCATTTTTATCTGCCTTGTTTCAAATGGCATGGATATTTTAAGATAATTCCATCTTTTTCTTCTATAATATCACTAGTTTGTAACTTTTTATCCCCTTCGCACAAGTCCACTGTGGATACATAATACTTTTTCTACATTTCTGTGGACATAGGGATGTGTCCACTTTAGAATTGTTTTCTAAATGGTCTGCAAGTTTTTGCTTAGACATGTTTTCATTTCCTTTGGGTTTGTGCCCCCTAGGGTTTGGCTAAATGGTAGAGAAGTATGTATAAGAAATTGCCAGACTGTTTAACAAAGAAGCCACACTAATTTATAGTGTCACCGTCAAAGTGTGATGGCCCTTGTCACAAGTTCCCCTCTCTGCCCTGCTGACTGTGACCTCATGACACTCCAAAGCACCAATGAAGTACTCTCATGCCTTTGGTGTGTGCTTTGTTCTTACTCCTAATAAGAGACCTTGGAGGCGATGCCCGAGTTCAAGCTTCCTACCTGCTTGACTGAACCTTTGTCTTGGTGACTGTCGTCCCACAGAGGACCCTTCAGAGGCATGTCATGACTCCCTTTTCCAGGACCCATGAGTATAAGGAGCCCTTTCATCTCGTGTTTCTCTGGAATTTACCCAGCGTTACTGGAATGCTTCTTAAAGATTCCACATGGAGGACTCGCTCCCCCTCAGCGTTTTCCATAGGATTTGTCTGTTTTGCATTAGCAAAATAAAGGGAGGTGAGGCATGGAAATATTTACATTCCCAGTAACTATAGGGTCTATGGCAATAGCAACGGTCACATTCCTAACAGTCTCAATTTCTGTCTTCATTCCTCTATCCCTGTCTCTCACACTCACACTGATCAGTCACAAGCACAAGCTTACTGGTCCCAGAAAGAAATTCAACTTCCTCTCACGTTTTTCTGCTTATTTTAATTTATGATCTGATCTCTATTATTTCCTCTTCACTATTTAGTTCTCTCTTTGTTATTAACTCCACAGAACAATGGGTCTCACTGCAACATTTCCCCACATGCATGGCACTGTCTTGATCCCAGTCACTCCCCATTCCCCCTGCTTGCTTCACTCCCTGATCCTCCCTCTCTTCCCTGATAGGCCTTCTACTTTTATGCCTCTTTTTCTGGCTTCTACATGAGAAAATCTGCATTTGTCTTTCTGAGTCCACCTTATTTCTCTTAAAATGGTGATTTCCTGTTCTATCCATTTTTCTGCAGATGACATTTAATTCTTCTCAAACTGAACTGTACTTCATGGCATAAAACAAGGCCTGATTCTTTTTGCATCCCTTCATTTATGGGTATCTAGGCTGAGTCCATGCCAGTCACTGTGAATAGTGTCATGACATATGTTGGTTTGCAAGTGCCTTGTTTTGTACAGTAACTTTAATTCTTTGGGGGTATAAACCCAGGTGTGGAATAGCTGAGCCAAACGATAGTTCTGTTTTTAATTTCTTAAGACTCCTCCAAACAGATCTCCAAAAAGACTGTGTTAATTTGCATTCCCAGACTGTACTCCATCACATCCTCACCAACATTTGTTGTGCTTTGCTTTCTTGATGATACCCATTCTGACTATGAAAAAATTTGCAATCTCAGTGTAGCATTGATTTGTATTTCTCTTGAGGCTAAAGGTGCTGAACATTTTGTTGTTTATACTTCCTTACAGGTTGGCATGTTCAGCTCATTTTCCTAAGTACTGACTGGATTGTTTTATCTTTCTGTATTTTTCTACTTTCATAACATAATGGCTGGAACCACTAATTTGAGATCTTCCTTCTTTGATGATATAACATTTGATGTCATAAGTTTCCCTATAAATACTACTTTATCTACAGCCGAGGAATATTGTTTTCATGTTCAGTTTTTTTTTTTTTTTTGGTTTTTCGAGACAGGGTTTCTCTGTATTGTTTTGGAAGCTCTCCTGGAACTCGCTCGGTACACCAGGCTGGTCTCGAACTCACAGAGATCCGCCTGCCTCTGCCTCCCGAGTGCTGGGATTAAAGGCGTGCGCCACCACCGCCCGGCATGTTCAGTTTTTTTAAGCACCCTTTTTTGAATGGTTTAATATGAGATAAAGGACTGAATGAAAGTTATGAACACAGTTATGAGAGACTATAAAGCTCTTTTTCCAGTTCTAACTCAGCTAGAGTTTTCGTTTTTTTGCTGGTAAAGAAGTACATAAACATATATTTAAGAGTAAAAGTATAATATCCAATATGAAGTGTCACAGCTTCAGTTTTGAATGGTTGTTCTAACTATATCAAAGTTCATTGAAGTGTATAGTCTTTGGATCTAGTTAATTTTGATGTGTAGTGTTTTTTTTTGATTTGTAGCTTTTTATAATAAAGTGTAAAACATTTAATGCCCCATTTATTTCTGTCTGTATTTATGCTGAGTAAACCCAACAGTAGCCATCAGCTTGAGAACCCACTCAGTCCCCAAAGCAGGAGGCCTCAGCAGCCCCAGTCTAGGTGCTAAAGACCTGGAAAATTCCTGGACAATGCTGATATGGAGTCCATATTAGTACGCAAAGAAGCTCACGTGTGATGCCTGTCTCGGTATCAGTCAGGGGTGGAAGCAGAGCAGCAGCAGCAAGGGCGGGCGGCTGGCGGACAGCTGGCGGGCGGCCTGCAGGAGGGTCACCCTGCTTTCCCTTGGACCTTTCTGCTCTGCCCACTTTGAGGAAGGGTCCTACCCCCCCCAGTTAATCCTTTTTTGGAAATACCCTCATAGACCATCCAGAGGCATGTCTCTTAGCTGATCCCAGATGCCACCAAGCTGACAATCAAGATCTTTGCACCTTACCACCAAAACAAGACCCCAGCTTAAAAAAGAAAGAAAGAGAGTTGAGAATGAGCCTTCTGGGGAGGTAGCTCACTCAAACTAGGAGGACCCTAACTTTATCTCCAGCACCCCCCAAAACAAAAGAAGCCAGGGACAATAAGACATGCTGGAATCCCAGTGCTAGGTAGGCAAAGCCAAGAAGATTCTTGGGGCTGTGGGCAGCCAGCCTAGCCTGCAAGGTGACTAGTGAGGAAAGACACCCTCAGTTGACCTCTGTCCTGCATACACATGTACCTCCCATTCCTACACATATAAAACTTTTTATTAAAAAATACTCTAACCAGTGGGCCATAATACTTTTGATCCTTTTGAATCTATGTTAATGCAGATCCTATGTCTTGGTGTCCTTGATTGAAAATGTGATCATTAACCCTTATCCATGGAATACTTTTCCTAGCAAATATCTGCCCCATAAGGATTTTCAGGGGATACTGAGGTTCCTTCTTGCACTGGCCGGTTTTGTGTGTCAACTTGACACAAGCCAGTCACCAGAGGAAGGAGCCTCAGCTGAGGAAATGCCTTCATGAGATCCATCTGTAAGGCTTTTCCTCATTTAGTGATCAATGGGAGAGGATCGCATGCCATGGTGGGTGGTGCCATCCCTGGGCTGGTGGTCCTGAGCAAGCCATGGGAAGCAAGCCAGTAAGCAGCACCCTTCCTTCCGGGGCCTCTGCAAGCAGCTCCTGCCTCCAGGATCCCGCCCTGTTTGAGTTTCTGGTGTGGCTTTCTTCAATATGAACAGCCATATGGAAGCATAAGCCAAATAAACCCTTTCCTCTACAACTTGCTTTATGGCCTAGTGTTTTGTCACAGCAATAAAAACTCTTAAGACAGCCGGGCGTTGATGGCGCATGCCTTTAATCCCAGCACTTGGAAGGCAGAGGCAGGCGGATCTCTGTGAGTTTGAGACCAGCCTGGTCTACAAGAGCTAGTCGCAGGACAGCCTCCAAAGCCACAGAGAAACCCTGTCTCAAAAACCAAAAAAGAAAAGAAACCCTAAGACACTTCATGGAGGGATCTGGAATCTCCCCCTTCCTCCTAGAACCAAGACTGAACTGCCTTGGAACTGGTAAGTAGGTAAGAAACTGTGGAGTTTGGATGGTTGCTTGGTTTTTGTTCTTTCTATATTCATTACCCAGACCTATATGAGCCTTCTGCTTGCCAGTTACTACAGTTGGGGATTTTGGTTTGTTGTATTATATTTGTTGTGTTTGAGAGATGAGGCAGGAGTAGTTGTACACCTCAAATATCTTAACTGTCTTTCTGTCTTTCCCTTTGGATCATGAACTTTAATCAGACTCATGCTTTGTTGCCCATTCAATTACATTAAGCCTCTGACAGTCAAATTCCCCGACCTTTATTCCATTATTGATCTGCTCTGACAGAGTCCAGGATAAAGGCAGTATCTTCCACTAATTCTATACTGTGTTGGTCAGACCCGCTTAGTTTTCTTTCCAGGATATTCTCAGCTATTGCTTGTGTTAAGACCCTGGTGGTGGCACTCGGGAGGCAGAGGCAGGCGGATCTCTGTGAGTTCGAGGCCGGGCTGGACCGACAGCCTCTAAAACAATACAGAGAAACCCTGTCTCGTAAAAAACCAAAAAAAAAAAAAAAAAAAAAAAAAAGACCCTGGTGGTGAGTATCATCCAGACAATCTCTTCTCCAGGTTTTTTTGTTCTTCAATTTATTTTTATTATTTGGAAATTTCACACAATGCACCCTGATCATATTCACTTCCCAGTCCCCCCAGGTCCACCCTCCCACCCTAGGGCCTCCCCAGTAAAATAAAAAATATACCAAGTCTAATTTGTGTTGCCCATATACTCATTGGAACATGATCAAACTCCCAATGGCCAGCCCCTTAGAGATAACTGAGTCTGCTGGCCTTAGGAGGAAGAGGCAGGCAGATGTCAGTGAGTTCAAGGCCAGTCTGGTCTACAAAGCTCTACTCCACGACCGCCAGAAGTCGCCAACTGTGAAGAGCTACACTTCAGGATCCCAATCACACTTTTTAAGGACTCTCTTCCATGGCTTCCTGTCTACACTGGGTTTTGTTGTTGTTGTTGGATTTTGGGGGGTGGGATGAGGCTGGAGAGGTTGTCACAGAAGCCATCAGTGTCTCTCACCCTGAATTATTCTACAGTCTCTGATACCACTACAAAAGATGCGTCCTTGCCCATAGCAGCCAGTAGCAGCGCAGATCATGGACTTCTGCACAGTCTCCAGCAGCAGCAAGGACCACGGACATCATCAGGGTCTCAGGCAGCACAGACCACGGAGTTTCTTTCAAGAAGACCCAATCCAGAAATGAACCATTCTCCATCTGGGACATCCTACCATTGCTCAGAGTCAGGGAATGGTGCAGCCAGGCAGCACTTGCCTGAGCTCCAGGCTGCTGTACACCAGCGTGCCAGCTCTACTCGGTAACTGTTCGCCACGTTCCCACACCTGCTGCCACTGCTGTGTCCGTAGTTCCGCATCTTCCCACCTGGCATGTGACTCCGTTCTGCCATCTTTCCCGCCTCTCCATCGCACATTTTATCCATTGCAGTGGGATTGCAAAGTGCAGTGTGTCACTACACACACACACACACACACACACACACACACACACACACACACCAAACAGCTTTACATGCAGATACTTAACCACAACGAGCCATTGGTCTGGTTCAAGGCCTCTGGCTTCGGAAGCACGGTAAATCCTGAGTGATCGCTGAGAGTCATCTCAGATATCCTGTGCTTTCCCAGGGTCAGGGTGAGCGGCACCTTGAGACTTGTAGGTCTTACCTCCGGGAAGACAGGGGACTAGCACGACTCAGCAGAGACAAGTTCTCTGGCCCCCACAGCCAGGCTGCTTCTCCTGTTTTCAGCGCTTCACAGCCGAGTCTCTGACCGCCTTCTTCAGTTCACCTCAGTGACCTCTGCAGTCGTGGCCTCCGCACGGCACCACTTCCGCCTCTCAGGGCCCCTTTCCGCTTCCATGTCATCTTTCCCACCACCTGCATCTCCCCTCCTCATCCCACGCTGTGATCTGGCGTGTTCTCGAGATCTGCTCTCAGACATGTCTCCTGGGTTCCGGCCAGGGCATCACCATTCTCCTCAAGGAAAGACTGCTTCCCAGTGGGGTGCACTAAGACCTGACCCTGATTATTAATATGGAGTCTGTGAAAGCGAGCAGGAGTGAGTTTTGAGAAGGACAAGTGTCACTTTTGTCATACAACTGCCTTAGGTTCTTTTTTAATTAAACTTTCACTACATTTAGGTATGTGTATGTATGTGTGTGTATTTATACACAATGAGCAAGTGTGTAAGACAATGTAAAAAGTCAAATGATTTTAATAGAAACAGATTTATAATTTTAAAATACAATTTTTAATTAAAAATATAAATTAACATTCCAAACTTTAAAAAGCAAAAGCTAATGGTTTTAACTTTCCATTTTGAATGAAAAACTGACCCATATGTATTTGTTTAAAACCTTTAATAATATCCTTAATTTTTTTAGATAGCCTACAAAAGTTAAATGATAAACTAAAAATATTTACTGAGATTTCAGAGTTTTGATCATATGAAAATAACACATATAACTCGCTACCAGAGAGCAAAAGCATACATATGCTGAGGGAGGAGTTCCGTGGCTTCCAAGTGAGCCTGGGCCACACCGTAGACTATATTTAAAAAGCAGAGAAAGTGCTAAGCCATGAATTCTGACAAAAATAATTTCACTTCACCTGTTTCAGTAAACTAAGCAAAATTCAAAAAGATATATTTATACAATAAGAAAGTACACAGAGTAAAAGAAAATCAACTTAAATAAATGCATCAGGATACTGGCTTCAGTTTGTCCAACAGACTTCAAGAATGTTTTTTACCTCGTGACGGTAGAGCTTTTCCTTTCTGCTTAGCAACTTTTTCCACTTTTATCTGTAAATTTAAAGCATTTATTGATTAAAAAAATGTTAAATTACCCTAAACAAAGGCTGTACATACCTGCCAGTCATGTCTTATTTAGCACAGCCACACCAGATTTACTAACTGCTAAATACTAATGCCAAAATCTGACTATTAAAGGGACATGACTGCATTCTTTAAATGATTGGCTTTAGCTTTTTAGAAGTTTGATAAAAGGAATAAATAAATGAATATTGCCTTGGCTAAAAATAAATATGAAAGGTCACTGGAATGTTTCTAAACGCTTAAAACCCTGACGGTACACGCAGCCTATGTGTGCTCATGCAGTTACAGAATAAACGAATTCAGCAGGATCATCTGTGGAACACAGGCACCGTTAAAGGTGAGTTCCTAGGATTCACAAGTGGGGACCATAAGTGGCAGCTGTCTACCTCTGAGAAACAAGAACCTTTCCATGACAGTAGGGACTCCCCATACCACAAGCACACCGACTTCTTCCTCATCACTGCTCACGACAACGTCCAGGTACAGCATCACTGCCTCAGACTTTCAAGGGGACAAACAAAAAATGCAGGGCCCAAAAGTGGAAACAGGACCTTTGCCCTTAAGCGGCAGAAGAACATCAAGAACCAGGGAGGAGGGGTTAGTGGTGCACACCTTTAATCCCAGCTCTTCAGAGGCTCAGGCAGGTGGATCTCTGTGGGTTCGAGGTCAGCCTGGTCTACAAGAGCTAGTTCCAGGACAGCCTCCAAAGCCACAGAGAAGCCCTGTCTCGAAAAACTAAAAATTAAAATAAAAAAATAAAAGAAACCCAGGGGAAATGGAACAGGGATATATATGATCAAAATAAATTATACACATGTATGAAATTCTCAAAGAATAAAACATACATTTTTAAAAAGAAACCAAAAACAGGTCAGGAGGAAAGCATAGCTCAGTGGCGGACACTTGCCTAGCAAGTACCAAGACTTAGGTATGATTTCCAGCGGAAAAGAGGGGATGAGAAAGGGCAGGACAGAACAGGAGCAGACAAAGCAGCGGAGAGAGGAGGGAAGAGAAGGGGAGCAAGGGAGAGCAACTAGCAACTAGCAGCACCTGGTAAAACCAGGTCATCCTATCTGTCAAATTACAAGTGACAAATTCCCGGTAATAAAATCCAAGTAGCCTACCTACCACATTCTCCCCTTTCTCCTCTTTGGTTGGCAACCACACTCAGACACCATGCCCTCGTTATCACTCACACACTGTCAGTCATCAGGTCATCTAAAGGGCTCTAAAGAACACCCCATGCGAAGACAACTAGCTTTTTAAGGCGTGGGGGTGGGAGGTTGTTTCGTTTATGTTTGAGTTTTGTTTTTCAATTCAGGGTTTCTCCGTATGTCCTAGGCTGTCCTGTCCTGGAACTCTGTAAACCAGGCTTGCAGAGAACTCAGAGATCCGCCTCCCAAACACTGGGATTAAAGGCTAGTTTTTGTTTGTTTTTAGTTATATAAAGTCATAGGTTTCGTATTGGCATTTGTGTATGCCCTTTGTTTATCCTCCTCACCCCCATGTCCCCTCCTGCAGGCCCCTTTTCCCATAGTGTCTCCTCTGCCTCAATATCACCTGTATTCGTCCTCTTTTCTTGTTCTAAATAGAACATCTGAATCCTACCTCTGTCTTTTATCAGACACTTAGGACAGCCTTTCATTTGTTTTGTTTTGTTTCTTTTAACCACAATATAGATACTTCTCAGGATTATTCAAAAGTATAAGTAAAAATCAAAGGTAGAAGGAAATGTATTTAATCAGCATTTAGTAAGATAGGTGTGGTAATTCAAATGGAAGCTCCCCAGCAGCCTTGGGCATTTGAATATTGGTCACCTGCTGGTGGTTGTTTGGGGAAGCTTAGGTAGGAGGTATGGCCTTGCTAGCAGAGGTCTGTCACCTCACCGGGGATGGGCTTTAAGGTCTCAAAGGGTTCACACCATTTTGAGTTAGCTCTCTTTGCCACCTGCTTGCAGTTGGGTGTGTGAGCTCTTAGCTGTTCCAGCCACCATGCCTTCGCTCCCCCATAATGGACACTGACCCCCTCTAAAACGCTAAGCCCAACTACTGTCTTCTAAATTGCCTTGGTCATGATGTTTTATCACATGAATAAAACATTAATACACTAGGCATGGTGTCGTACACCTATAATTCCAGCACTTGGAAAACAGAGGCAGGAGGATCAAAAATTCAAAGTCAGTCTTTCAAATATATTGAGTTTAATGTCACACTGAGCTACCTAATACCCTGTTCCCCCAGCCTCTCCCCAAAAACAATCAATCTATATATAAGTGGTCAACAAATGCTAGACTCTTTTTCATCTCATTTAAGCCTTTCCCTGAGGCAGGGCTGTAAGCTGCTATGCTTACTGCTGCCTGTGGTAGTCCTTGGTCCCCTAGTTCCAGGATACCTTTCCAGCTGAGCCATGTAACACTCAGTATTCTGTGACTCCTGAGTGCCAGCATACCTGTCCCATCCGATCTGTCAAAATGCCTACAAATACCTTACCAATAATCTTGAGAGCAGACAGTAAACCATGTTAGCACAGAAGCTTCAACTGTCAAAGCCAACTTCCTCTAACCTTTAAGAATCCCCATACCAAAGTTCCAAAGAATTAGGAAAGAACAGAGGAACACACAGCCTTGTTCTTGAACCAGGCCCCACAACATCCCAAACACTTACCTTTTCCTGGTGTCGTGTTTCAAAGTAGGCCTCATGATCCTCTTCAGGGTTCTTAATGGAAGAAATCTGAGTGCTTGGACCTACTAACATGAGAAAAAAAATCCAAGTTGTGTATTTATAACATTACATGCCCCCCCCAAAGGAGACAGAGAGCAGGCAGAATTCTTTTACACCAAGTAGTAATAGTTTATTATTCAAACCAGAAATGGCTCAGTGGTCCTCATATTAAACTCTTTCTCGGCAAGAATTCCATCACAAAACAAAAGCAATTTTTAGTGGTAAATATTCTCCAAATATTCAACTGGCTCCTATTAACTAACACTACATAGCTATTCCATATGGGTAACCTAGAGCTAGACGCAGAGCTTATACCTAATTCAAAGTCACTGAGATGTAGAGGCAGCAAGAGTTAAAACTGGATGCCAGTCTGGGCTACCTGCATAGCAAGTTCCAGGCTCTCATAGGCTAGAACACTGTGTCAAAAAGTAAAAGAGAGGGACAACAGATGGTTTGATAAGTTGCTTGCCACCAACCTGACAAGTTGCATTTACCAGCACCCACATGATGGAAGGAAAGCACCAATCTAAGCAAGTAGTCCCCTGACCTCCACATTGCACACTTACCAACACACACACACACAGGAAGTAGTCCTCTGACCTCCACATTGCACACTTACCAACACACACACACACAGGAAGTAGTCCTCTGACCTCCACATTGCACACTTACCAACACACACACACACACACACACACACACACAGGAAAGTAGTTCCCTGACCTCCACATTGCACACTTACCAACACACACACACACACACACAGGAAGTAGCCCTCTGACCTCCACATTGCACACTTACCAACACACACACACACAGGAAGTAGTCCCCTGACCTCCATATTGCACACTTACCAACACACACACACACAAAGGAAGTAGCCCTCTGATCTCCACAAGCACACCTTCCCACCCCCAACACATCCACACACACATACTCTTATTTTCCAACTAGAAATCCATGTTATACTTTATGAGATAATCTATAGCATTGTTCACTACGGAGGCTGTCTATAGGCAACCATAGAAATGATACTAACTGCTTTGAAAGTTCCAGAACTAAGACAGTTTTAGCCATCTTTCGTGGTGTTTATTTTGTAAAATTAACCAATAGCTGGTCTATGTTCCCATAATTTAAAATCGTTTTTTGTGTACGTCTGTGAATGCTAGGGTTGGGTTGAGCTCACTGCATGGCCCCACCTTCCTTGGAATTGCAACATTCCTTCCAAATTGAAACATTGCCAGCACGAGGGAGGAGGAGCTTTCTCTCTACAGCCAGAAGGAAATAGGAGGTAAACAAAAGGTCACCAGTGGGGAAAACAAGATTCCCAGGATTCAAAAACACGTAAACAGCTGCTCCAGACAGACAGTCAAACTGTGGAAAGAGATGCCTGAACTGTGGAGTTCCCGGGTGCAGTTTTCCGCCAGCAGGGGGCCCTTCAGTTAGTATAGCTGCTTTTGAATTATCCCTGCTCCTCATCACCCTAGTAAATACTCATGGGTTCACTAAATTGGACACTGGTGCAATACTTACTCTGGCCTGTTGCCTGGGAAGCAAACTAAAGTTCTATATTGTTACTACACCCAAAAGTACTTCTTGTAACTTCATTACCATCTGTTAGTGTTTGTAGAGAAGAAGTAGATGGCATTTGCATGGTGCTTATGAATGGGTGCTCAATGTCCAAAACTGGAGAGTCCAAAACTTCAGCTGAAGGTGCACCTGCAAACAGAAGATACAGCAAATGGAAATCAACGTTCTATTCATAAAGATACAATCAATTCATCATTTCTACTGTGAAGTAGATCAGAACACCAGCAGAACTGTTAGGGAAAATTCTGTTCATTTTAGCTGGCTACAGTAGCACATACCTATAATCCCATACTTAGGAAATGAAACATTATGCTAGCTTAAAAAGCACATTGAGACCCCTAACTCAAAAAAAAAAAACCACCAAACATGAATAAGTGTAAAAAAAAACAAACAGGAATTTTAACTTTGAATTATTTTTCTTTTCTGTGTATGGATGTTTTGCCTGCATATATGTCTGTGTAATGTGTATGCCTGGTGCCCAGATGTTGGATACCCTGGAAATGGAGGTATAGACAGTTGTGAGCTGCCATGTCGATTCTGGGAATCAAACCCAGGTCCTCTGCAAAAGCAACCAGTGCTCTTAACCACTAAGCCATCGCTCCAGCCCAAGGAATTTTTATTTTCAATTTTTACCTATTTAAAAGTATTTTTGCTCCAGGTGGTGGTGGTGCATGCCTTTAATCCCAGCACTCAGAAGGCAGAGGCAGGCAGATCTCTGTGAGTTCAAGACCACCCTGGTCTACAAGAGCTAGTTCCAGGACAGCCTCCAAAACCACAGAGAAACACTGTCTCGAAAAACCAAAAAATTAAAGTATTTTTGCATTTCTCAGAAACTTTTCCACTGAAGAAAAAAATCTTAGAAGTTACTGTAACTATATGAGGAAAGAAGTATCAGACCTAGTATAGCTCTGAAGTACCAAAACAAAGCATTCAGTAAGAGTTGAGCTGAACTTCTAACCCACTCCTTACTAGAAAGCCAGTGAGCTGCTCAGTGTTTATTCATGCGACACAGACAGGAGTCATCTGAAAGGGGGAGCATCTGAGGAATTGGCTCCATCACTTTCCTAGGGCATGTCTGTGGGGTCCTTCCTAATCAGAAATGATTGATGATGCTGGAGAGATGGCTCAGTGGTTAAGAACATTGCTCTTCCAGAGATCCTGAGTTCAATTCCCAGAACCCATTATCAAGTAGTTCATAAATGCCTGTAACACCAGCTCCAGGGAATCTAACACCCTCTCCTGGCCTCCAAAGGCACCTGTACACATGTAGCTTACACAGGTATACACCTAAATAAAAATAAACAAATTTATTTTTTTTAAAAAAAGAAATGATTGGCTTTGGCAGTATGGCAATCACCTTTAATCCCAGCACTCAGGAAGGAGAGGCAGGTCAATCTCTGAGTTCAAGGCCATCCTAGTCTACAGATCAAGTTCCAGGACAGCCAAGGATACACAGAAACCCTGTCTCAAATTTTTTAAAAATGATTAATTAAAAAATGACTGACGTAGGAGAGCCCAGTCCACTGTGGGTAGTATCACCCTGGGCAAGCGGTCCTGGGTTGGTTATATATTTGGAGATTTTTTGGTTTTGGTTTTGTAGTCCTAGCTGTCCAGGAACTCACTGTGTACAGCAAGCTGACCTCAAACTCACAGAGATGCCCCTGCCTCTGCTTCCCCAGTGTTGGGATTAAAGGCATGCATCCTCCTAACTGAAAGTCCTGGGTTGTACAAGGAAGATCAAGCCGTGGGAAGCAAGCCAGTAAGCGGCATCCCTCAGCTTCTGCTCCAGTCCTGCCTCCAGGTTGCTGTGTGGCCTCACTCAGTGATGGAGTTTCATCTGTTTGTTACCCTTTCCTCCTCAAGCTGTTAGGGGCAGTGTTTTATAACAGTCAATAGAAAGGCAAACTAGGACAACTAAGTATGAAAAATGAAGGAAACTCTTTCTTCAATGAAACATACACCACCCTCCAGCTACAAGCCACAAAGGCCAACTGCTAAAGGCATGAACTCTTGAACCAAGAAGGAAGCTACAGAGAAAAAAATAAAACCATCCTATCTTCCTCACAAACCACCTCCTTGTAAACGAACTTCCAGTTTAACTGGATGACAAGCTAGCCTTACCTGCTAACGTAACAGAAAAACTGCTTGTTCTTCTGATTCCTGCCCCCGCCTATCTCCACCACTCCCTCCTGTGACAGTGGGGACATGGGAGGCTCAGTCCAGCTGGGCCCGTAATCCTCACTTGCTGCATGGGTTCCTGGTCTCCAGCGTTAAGGGCTGGCCTCGCTTGTAATTTAGTCTCCAGGTGGATAGTTCCTGGTGGTCTCCCATTTGTTCACTGCAAGTGCAGATTCTACCAGGCTCCAAGGCCTGTCTCTTCCCACACAGAATCTTCCAGTACTGGAGACCCATCTTCAGCTATGCTGGGGGGGGTCACCTTAGCCCCACTACCATGGGTTTCGAGGCAGACCCATCATCTCACAGCTCAGCTGTCTGCCCAGACGTCCTGAGATCTGGGAATTATGGACTGCTTCCACATTGTAAAGGAATCAAGTCCTGGCCAGAGAGCACCATTGTCTAGAACTCTACAGGGCTCAGAGCAGAAGCCTCACCATTCCTGGGTTCTCCTTCAACAGGACAGAAACTTCTCATGGCACCCCCTTTCCTTACCACCCACTTCCCTCATGAGTTTTGGCGATTTGAATAAGAATGGCCAGTAGGCTCATGTTTGAATGTGTGTCCCATGTGGCCTTGTTGGAGGAAGTGTGTCACCGGGATGGGTTTGAGGTTTCAGAAGCCCGTGCCACCCCCAGTTAGCTCTCTGCCTGCTGGTTGTGACTAGAGATGTGAGTGCTCAGCTGTCCCTATAGCCTTCACTCCTCCACCATGGACTCTAACCCTCTGCAACCATAAACCTGAATTAAACACTCTCTTTTATAAGTTGCCTCGGAAATGGTGTCTTACCCAGCACCAGGAAAGAAAGGTGAAAGGTTTTCTTTCTTTACACTGCAGCAATTTGAGGGATAAATACTAGAAAGGCCAAGATGCCAGGTCACCACCACTATTCAGAAAAGTTGTAAAACTACTAATAAAAGGATTTGGAAGCACTGGAGGAGGCAAAAATATCAGGGATTTTGTTTGTTTTTTGTTTTTTGCAAACTATACTGAAAAATCTGTCTAAAACTCCCAAGACTGAGGTCCCACATGATAAAAGAACTCCAAAAAGTCTGGGTTCCACATGTACTCTCACACATATATATATATACATGTGCCTACACATAACATACACACAATGCATTAAGTATAATTTTTAAAAGTCTTTAAAGATTAAATAGAAATAAGAATTGTGTGGGCCTTCTAGAAAAGTAATTTCAGGATTCCACTTGTCTACACAGAAGGGCACAAATAAATGAAGATAAAATATTATAAATTATTAGTTATTTCTATATCAATCTGCATATTCAATATGCTATTGAAATATTACAGTGCTTTCATAAAAAAATTAGGCCAAATTTCTGAAAAGTTTTAAAAATAAGTTAGGAATATTCTGAAGTAGTAAAATTAAATCATAAGTTAATTCATTATTTTACTCTGAGCCTCCAACAATGGAAATAGTATGGTGGCTACGCAGACGTGGACAGGAATGAGGCAGCCCCAGGAGGACTCTCTAGGCTGCACCCTGTCCTGCTGGCTGATGAAGAAGAGCGGCTGATGTACTGTCTCCACTCCTCATCTGTAAGTACAAGCGGTACCCTATCCCACAGGCTCACTGTGATAAATAAACGAGGAGCGGCCAGAACAGTTCGGAGCTCCGCAGAGCTTCAGCCTCCATCCTCATCATTAGTGGGTTTCCTGAAGCTGCTAAATGAGCCTCAGAAAACCATGCACACCCGCCCTACAGAAAACTTTGCTTTTGTGGTTTATAACTTTGTAAAATAAGAAATATGTAAAAGTATCATAACTGTGACAAATGAACTTAAATACCAAAGCCTACCATGGTATGATAAAAAAGATTGAGTATATGTCATACTGCCACACAAAATAACAAGTATGACAGAGTATGACAGCATCTCCTAATATTTGAGTAAGAATGGCAGTTGAACAACCAGCCATAAATTTGAACAAAATCTGAGCTAGCTATTAATATTTCACATGTTCATAAAAATAAATTCCAGCTGGGTGGTGGTGGCGCACGCCTTTAATCCCAGCACTCGGGAGGCAGTGGCAGGCGGATCTCTATGAGTTCGAGGCTGGGCTGGTCCGACAGCCTCCAAAACAATACAGAGAAACCCTGTCTCATAAAACCAAAATAAATAAATTCCAGCTTCATGAAAAAAAGAAATTATATTAAGATAAAATGAAGAGATGTACATTTATAAAAAAATAAAACAGGAAAACCTAGTTACAAACTTTAAAAACGAAAATCAGGAGCTGGGGAGACGGATCCATTTAGAGAGCACCAGCTCTTCCAAAGCCTGTGTGCTCCCTGCGCCACGTCAGAAGGCTCATAACCTGGGTCTGACCCCGCCTTCTGACCCTGAGTACATATGCACACAGAGGCACAGACACACAAATAAAAATATTTTAATCTTCAAATCAAATGGTAAATGGCATACTGGAGAAAAATAGCTGCAAAACAAATAAAATATTATTAGTAACATTAACATTTTAAGGACTTGATATAAGCCGATGAGAAAAGATGAACAGGGAAAGGCGAGGAAAAAATGGAGGGGAGGAGAGACGAAAGACCAGGAGCATTACAACAGCAAGTTGTACACAATCAAGTAACAAGTAACTATATCATATCAAACAAGAGTTTCATCCAGCCACTTCAATAAATAGGGACATGAACTCAGGTTTAGATTAAGCATTGCAGACAGAATCTTTTGTGTTTTGTATGTTTTCTATAATAATACATTGTATAGTGCAAAAATTTTTTTGAAATAAAAACCAAATAAGGGAATTTTTCTGAAAAAAAAAAAGACTATAAAATGCTAAATTAGGCCTGGTAGTGGTGGCTCACGCCTTTAATCCCAGCACTCAAGAGGTAGAGGCAGGCAGATCTCTGTGAGTTTGAGGTCAGCCAGTTCCAGGACAGGCTCCAAAGCAATACAGAGAAACCCTGTCTCAAACACGCCCCCCCCCAAAAAAAGTAAGGTTTCGTTACTGTTAGTACACCTTGTGCCAAGCTCACACTTCAAATACTTTCACTTACCAATGCCACTGTCATCGAGGCGCATGTAGCCTTCTGCCAGTGAGCTGAAGCCAGTTAAACCTCCCATTGCTGCGTAAGGAACGTCGCGTCCTACTGGTTTGCCCTGATCCAACCTTTCCTGCCGTGTCTCCACCACTGTGTCGTGGGCATATGCTGGTTGGCCGCAGCCACAAGTGAAGGAGCTGTGGAACCCTGAGCACTTGGAGCCTGAGTTGAGACACAAAGGGTAAAATGTTAAGCATAGACGCTAAGCGGCCCAGACATGTATCTTAGCCAAAGCTGGCTATGGGTGTGTCCTCTGGCCCTGCCTGCATCTCTTTATCTCCAGCCAAAGCTATTCTTACAGAAGCTGAAGTGGTTAAGGGGTACACACTGACCGGGTGGGGGCGGGGGTAACGTTTCAAAAACCAACGGGGCCCAAAGGACACTCAAGAAAAAACTGGAGCGCCAGAGATTACAAAGCACTCTGAAGGCTGAGACAGGAGGATCACAACTCTCAGGCCAGCCTATTCTACACAGCAAAACCCTGCCTCTAAAAAACAAATAAAGGCTGGAGAGATGGTTCACTGGGACACAAGTTCTTGTCTCAACACCTACATGATGGATCACAACTGTCTGTAGCTCCAATTCCAGGCGATCTAATGCTCTCTTCTGGCTTTGGCCAGCACCAGGTACATACACACACACACAGACACACACAGACACACACGATTTTTTTAAAACAGCCATATTGGAATGGAAACCTGAATATATAATGCAAAATCTTTCCCTGCTCGAACCACTTCTACCTGTGTATGGGAACTAAAGCTCCTAAATTTTATACAACTCATTCCATACTTGGCAGATGAAACGTGTACTCCTGCCATTGTCAGAAATTTCTGTGGTTGCGCATACTTTATCCAGAATGCTCGAAGTCAGAAATGCTTCAGATCTGGTTTTGAATTTGCAACTCTACAAGTAGAGTTTACCGGCTGAGCACCCATAATCAGAAAATCTGAAATGTTTGTCAGGCTGATGCATCTTTTTCACTTATAAAATCCCTCCTGTAAACGTCTGTAAAGAATTAATATATGTCTGTGGGTGTAGCTCAATGGTAGACATAAAACCTTCATAAGACCTTAGGATCAATCCCCAACACCAACCCCACAGCAAAAAGGAACCAAGTGGTTTAAACTCTCATTAAAAACATTGTTATCGGGGATAATGGGGGGGGGTTGGGGGGAGGACACGGGAGGAGGGGAGGGAAAGGGAGAGGGACCTGGAACTGACTTGTGAAGCAACCTTGTTTCTTATCTAAATTTAAACTGGAAAATAAAATTTAAAAAAAAGCCTTTTTAAGAAATAAAAAAAACATTGTTATCAGTTTTTAGGTTTACTTACTTTTTTTTATGTGCATGAGTGCTTTGCCTGAATGTATTAATGTGCATGATGTTTGTGCCAAAAAAAAAATGGGGCTGGAAACTGAACCTTAGTCCTCTAAAAATCAGTGTTTTGTTTTGTTTTGTTTTACTGCAGAGCCATCCCTCCTGTTATTGACAACTTTTAATCAGAGCTGGAGAAATTGGCTGCTCTTCTAGAGGACCATTTAATTCCCCACACCCACATGGCAGCACACAGCCATCTATAACTCCAGTTCCAGGGATCTGACGCCCTCTTCTGGCCTATACCTACACCTACACATGTGATGCACAGACATGCATGTAGACAAATCCCATACACATTACATTTAACTTAATTTTTTTTAAAAATTCTTAATAAGGTGGTATCTAGAAATTCTTTAAATTCTATCCCTATTACTTAAACTATTTAAATTCTATGACACTAAAGTTTATTATTATAAATCATACCAAGAACTAAGTATCTATCCATTGAATTTTGCTTTGTAGCTAAATAGTTACAAAGACTCATTAAGTATTTAATAAAGGTATTAAAACAGTCTGCAACTGTGTATAAGATGGAACTTACAGGCATTGCATGCGAAGCCAGGCTCAGCACTGTGCTGGTCAGCAAAGTGCTTGCACCTACAGCGAACGGGCTGGGTACCATTCAGAGGCACGTAGTGGTAAGCCTTGCACCTGCATCCAGGTACTCGGCAAGGCAGATCAATGGGGCGCTCCTGTGGAATCGTTTCAAAGTCGGTTTGATGCTGTTTATACCTTTAAAAAATAGAAACACAAACACAATTTGGATTTTGTTAAACATTACAATTTACTGTCTATTAAACACATATGTAATTATTTTGATTCTGGTTTTATCTTTTGTTATTCATATTAATAAGGTAAAAATAACCGCTCCCGCGTTCTGCATTTCCATCAGCTTTGATCAGTAGTCTTCACTTTATCAGACTTTAATTTTTGGTTGTTGAAGATGTTTCATAATCATGTAAAGGAATATAATTCCCTTAAAAATACTCATCATTGCCGGGTGTTGGTGGTGTACGCCTTTAATCCCAGCACTTGGGAGGCAGAGGCAGGCGGATCTCTATGAGTTCGAGGCCAGCCTGGTCTACAGGAGCTAGTTCCAGGACAGCCTCCAAAGCCACAGAGAAACCCTGTCTCGAAAAACCAAAAAAAAAAAAAAAAAATACTCATCATTGCAGTTCTTTAGTCTGGATGCATATCCTCAATGGATGAAGACGTTCCTTTTATGGGGACTGTACTAGAAATCAAACCCAAGACATCATGCATGCTCAGCAAATGTTCCACTACTAAAATATAACCAGCCATACAAAACAGCTCTTTATAAAAAATGCTTTCTACCAAGTGTAGTGGTACACACTTGCAATCTCAGCATTTAGAAGGTGGAGGCAGGAGGATCATGAGTTTGAGGCCAGCATGGGCAAGACCCTGTCACAAAATTAAGGTGTGAGGTGAGTGGTGAGGTGGCTCTGAGGGCAAAGGCGTTTGCTGCCAAGTCTAATGTCCTGAGTTTGATCTTCTGGACCCACTGACCTCCATGCATGTATACATACATACATACATACATATATACATACATGCATAATGAATAAATAAATATAAATGTAAGGTTTTTAAAAAATGGTTTTCATCAAAGTACATCACTTAAATTTTAAAAAATTTTAATATGATTTACTTAACTATAATTTAATTTTAACTTTCAACATCAAAATGAATTAATAATATTGATAAAATATTTTTTTGGTTTCCGAGACAAGGTTTCTCTGTGGCTTTGGAGGCTGTCCTGGAACTAGCTCTTGTAGACCAGGCTGACCTCGAACTCACAGAGATCTGCCTGCCTCTGCTTCCTGAGTGCTGGGATTAAAGGAGTGCGCCACCACCACCCGGCAGAGAATATATTTTTAAGTTGTGTGTTTTAGCTTTACATACACATAAAATATTAAAATAAATAAATTTTTCAACTTTCTAAAAAGGGAGTGCTACAAAATAACCAATTCCATTTGATGTTTCAAGAAACTTTAAAAATTCCATTCTTTCACCCTAGAAATTCATTTTGGAAAATACAATCACGTAAGTAGTTCCACATATAGATAAGGGTTTGGTATAAAGGCAGTGTTAGCAGTAGTACATGTACTAGGAGGTATTTATGTATAAACAGACATATTTGTAAGCATAAGGAAATGGGCAAATCCATTACTAGAGGGCCGTCATTTTATCTAAAGAGAGTGAAACCTTCTCTTTAGATAAAGAACCTTCATAGAGTCACAATACTACATGTAAAATATTTACAAGCTGGAGGGGTGAAAGCCAAGGCAAGGGCAGGAATTGGTGTCCTCGCTCCCGTAACCCGCCTTTCTGCCTGGCACACATCTGAGTCTCACTCACATCTTCAAAACAACAGTGAACACCGCTGGATGAGCTGGGACATGGAGAAATTATTAAAAACCTGCCTTGAGATTACTAATGGCCGCATGCATACATATTTCCTGTGATTTGATCAAGAAAAAACAGGGCTATGTTTTACGCATGCACGGAATGTACAACTAAATAAACAATGCAAAGAGAAAATTATACACATGAAATGGAACATGCTAACAGCGGGCTCTGGGTGGTGAGCGCTCTGCTTTTCTATACACCCCCCATTTTCCTTAATAACCATGTCTCGGTTTTATAAAAAGAAAAACATACGTTAGATAGGAATTTCATTAAGTGATGAATACCACAGAGAAATTTCTTCATCGTAGTTGGGTTGGATTTTGAGGGTCATTTTCAGGCTGCTCAAATTCCATGTAGAAACTGGCATTGGATACTCACAAGCATAAATTATAAGACTACTACAAATTTGTCCACCCCTCAGCTTTGACAGATATCAACATGTTCCCATCATCCTTCAGTCCTCCACAGTGCTTTTAGTTATTTTTTCTAGGTAAGTCTGAAGCCAATCTATACACATTACTCATCCTAGCAACTGTCTAACAACTTCTGGCAAACTGCAACTCTGTAAATAGCAACTAGACAAAGAGTCTCTCAGAAACAGACTTGGAAGAAGCAGGGCGGTTTCCCTTCAGCGGATTCCTTAGAACGAAAAGTTCAACCTGGTCCCCAAGAATAGGTAACTGGTTACGTAATTGTTTTTCCTTTTGTACTTTTTACAAAGCAATTTGGTCGTTTTTTATATTTACAGCTGTGAGATGATAGAAAAATCTGAAGGAATGCATTTGCAGAGCAATTCAAACAACACACATTATGACTGGCCCTTCGTATCTCTTCTCTCAGTGATGTTCTTCAATACAACCATTTGAAGTCAAAAGAATGTATGTGTTTTTGTTTGTTTGTTCAAGGTATGGGGCCAGGTATGATGGTCACGCCTGTCATCCCAGTACCCAGGAGACAGGAGAAGCATGAGTTTGAGGATTATACAGCAAGTTCCAGGCAAGTCTGGTAATGGGACCCTCTCACAAAGAATTGAGCAAACAAATGTAGAAGGAAAAACATCAACTCTGAGGATGTGAAGAATGATTCACAACCCTGACGAGACATGGGTCTATTGGTGGATGAGTAGCCTGACCAGCATGGGTCAGTGCGACCACCCAGATCCTACCTGTCTAATAATGGGGCCAGTAGATGCTACCTTCACCACACAGAAAGACCCCTGGAAAACATCATCCTCTATTTTTCCCAGTGACAAGACAAGAGCTGCTCATGGTAACAGACTCTGTGATGAGTTTTAACACTGTATGAAAGTTTAGTACACGTTTAAAAACCTTTACATAGTTCTAGTGTGTTGATGACGACATCAAATGTTTCTTAACCATCACACTGTTATTTATAGGAGGAAGATATGTTTTTGCTACAGATTTCATTTTATAGCCATCCAAAAATTAGCCATAAAGTGGGCTGGAGAGACAGCTCAGACTGGAGACAGCTCAGCGGTTATGCGTGCACACTGCTCTTGCAGAGTCTGGTTCCCTGCACCTACCTCAGGCAGCTCACAACCATTTGTAACCCCGATTCCAGGCAGATCTGATGCCTCTGGCTTCACAGTCACCTGTACTCACATGCATACAGCCTCCCAGAGACACACACATATACATAATTAAAACTAAATTTTTTTAAAAAGTAAATGATACAATATCTTACCTATGTGTACAAAAACACAGTGTCTCTGGGCCGACAAGTTTACAGTCCATTCCTGTTGGTGACCGCCAGCTCACAAATAATCTGTTCTGTAAACGCATGGGTAAGACTTTTTTCTTGTATTCTTCATACTCTTCGGGAGTAAAAAGTTTCCCTCCATCATCCTCACCAACAATTCTACAACAACAATAAGTGTTGCTTTTAACCCTTGAGTATTTTCCAGGCCCAAAATACTCAACTCTAAGATTAAATTATTCTTGTATATTTAAATGAAAAGTGGCTTTGACTTTGGATTTTTACTTTCAACACAAACACATAGCGAAATTGCAAACAGTAACAATAAAACTTTTGCTTCTGATGGAGTTCAGCTGTGCCACCCCTCCCCCAAATTTGGCAAGCATCTTCTTGGGCAAACAGCCAAAGCAGGAATGAGGAATGCCACTCCCACCACCCCAAATATTCTTCCTTGAAACGGGTCCTACTCCTCATTGAAGAAGGAGCCTCCCTTTACACACACACCTGTCTCTGTAGACACAAGAGCACAGTGACAAACTAGACAAACAGGCCTTGCTAAGTTCCCCAGTTCATTGCCATTAGGTCATACCCTGCTGTCCTTCAGTCCTATTTCTCTCTGGCTGTCCACCATTCCACAGACTTAAGCATAAAGGTACAGGATGCCACATAAAAACTAGACTCAGTAGCATCTCCCTTGTCAATCTTCCTTTTTATTTTAGGTACTTTAGCCTTGAACCCAGTGATGTCTAAGGGGGAAAAAATCTTTTCTCCATTCTCTTCCCATATAAAAGATTGTAGGTAACAATTTTTAAACATGACTTTGCTGATGGTGGTGGTCTGACTGAGAAATGTCACCCATAGGTCCCTGCATCTGAACACTTGGTCCCCAGAGGGTGGCATTGTTTGCTGAGGCCATGCTGGAGGAGGTGCACTGTTCAAGGCCGCCTGTAAGAGACTATAGCTTTCCCACTTCCTGCTTTGTCTCTCTCCGCATCCCCTGTGCAGACGAAAAATGATCGGCCATCTTCCCGCTCTTGCTACCACGCCATGCCAGGCCATGCCACCCCCCTACGATGGACTCTACCCCTCTGGAGCCGTAAACCAAAATAAATCTTTCCTTCTTAACTTTCTTTTGACCATGGTATTTTATCAGAGCAACAGAAGGCTTATCAATGGATTATCACATACTCATCTCAGCTTCTTTTTTTTTTTTTTTTTTTTTTTTTTGGTTTTTTGAGGCAGGGTTTCTCTGTATTGTTTTGGAGGCTGTCCTGGAACTCACTTTGTAGAGCAGGCTGGCCTCGAACTCACAGAGATCCGCCTGCCTCTGCCTCCCGAGTGCTGGGATTAAAGGCGTGCGCCACCAACATTCTAAAACAAACACTCATTCTCCCCCATTGAAAGCTAGATCCTAAGCCAGACGTGGTGCCCTCCCGAAATCTCATCTAAAATGGCTAAGGAAGAAAGATGAATCAGAGGCCAGTCTGGAATACCCAGCAAGACTCTGCTTCAAGAAAAGAAAAATCTTGAGCTTGAACTGCTAAAAGTTACGTTTTCATCCTTTTAAAAACAGTACCTAAAGTCAGGCAGTAGTGGTTCACATCTTTAATAGCAGCGTTCAGGAGGAAGAGGCAAACAGATCTCCTTGAGTTCAAGGCCAGCTATACAATCGGCATAATCTTCTCCCTTGATTTTTAATGAGCTTTTAAAAACCTACAAATAAAATTTCACATACTGAAATTAATCAGCCCAAAAGCCTGTCTATCTCAGTGAACTTCTACAGTATTAGAATGGCCATTCAGAAGCTGTAGCTTCACACTAGATCTTATACTTACAGCATGGAATACATTTCTATGCACTTATCTACTGAGAAAACAAAATACCTGGGACAGAGTAAGGTCTAGAAAAACAGCTTCCTATCCTCTTCCGTGTCTATCTCCACTGCCTGCGCTCAGTCTTCTCCCTTAATGCTTACCCTTTCTGGTTCTCCCCGGTTTTTTGTTTTGATTTTTCTCTCCTTTCCTTAAACACGCTAGAGACACAAAAGTTTTTTTAATGAACTTATTCTGAGGTAATGCTTTATTATAGCCATTGAACAATATCAACAGGTTCCAGAAAGATCATAGGACAAAAGCTAGAAAGTGTTGGTGTTTAAATTCAGACTTCATTGCATGTCCATCATCTCCAGGTCGTCTTGTTCACTAGCTGAATTGAGTCACTGAGTCTGAGTAAGTCTGAGACCCAGCTTCCCTAGTACAGCCCAGGTGAGGTAGATGCTAGTGGGCCCACCTTCTGACATTTTGAGTAGAAAGACTGAATACTCCCACCAGACGCCTCCCACCCAAGCCAAGTCAAAATTAAAGAAAACTGGGGAAGAAGCTTTCTGTTTGGCATTCTTTCTCCTTCCTTTTTTTTATTTAAATTAGAAACAAGCGCCAGGCAATGGTGGCGCACGTCTTTAATTCCAGCACAAGGGAGGCAGAGGCGGGTGGATCTCTGTGAGTTCGAGGCCAGCCTGGTCCAGGACAGCCTCCGAAACAATACAGAGAAACCCTGTCTCGTAAAACCAAAAATAAAAAATTTAAAAACAAGCTTGTTTCACATGTCAATCCCAGCTCTCTCTCTCTCTCTCTCCTCCTCCCCCGGCCCCGACCAACCCCCCCCCCAGCTCCCCACCCAATCCCTACTCCACTCCACTTTTCAGGGGGGGAATCTCCAAAGTCTGTCATATCATCCGGGGCAGGGCTTTGACCCTCGCCCATGTGTCCAGGCTGAGAGTGCACCCCTTCGTGTGGAATGGGCTCCCAAAACCCATTTGGATACCATAGGTAAATACTGATCCAGTGCCTGAGGCCCCAAAGAATGCCGAGGCCCTGCTTGGCATTTTTTATGTGTTTGCAAAACCCAGAGCTTTGCACTTGCTGGGCAATGGTTCTACCACTGAGCTACATCGCAACCCTTAGTTTTCAGCAGGTTCTCAATATGTGGTTTAGACTGACCTTGAACTCACTGCCCTTCTAGACATTTCCTCAGGGCTGGAATGACAGGCCTGGACCACGGACAGTAAAAAAAGTTTGTTTCTGACAGAGATCATTTTGGGAAGCCTTCCCCATATAACCCTTTTACATCTAAGAGCCAAAGTCCTCGTGTTTCTCAAAGCTTGTTGATGGTAAAAGACACAATGATCTCTCTTAAAGGGCCATGTCCCATGACATGCACACTTGCAAAAATAATTTTCCATGAGCCTTTCCATAGCATTTTATGGACAAGAGACAAGTGAAAAGTTCAATCCAAATTTGTAAATATGTAAGTCTTCATTCAACCTCAGGATCAAGTGACTTCCTCCCAGGAAAAAGCCAGAGAGCCAAAGGAATGATGCCAGCCCTGCTATGGTAAGAAGGGTAGTATGTGATGGGTGAACCTGCCATGGAGACTGTGTGCGGGCTACTTTCATGCCAACTTGACACAAACTAGAGTCATATGGAAATAGAAACTCTCAATTGAGAAAATGTCCCCAGCTAGAAAGACCCTGCTCACTGCGGGCAGTTTCACTCCTCGGCAGTGTCCAGGGTGCTATAAGAAAGCAGGCTGAGCAAGCCAAGAGCTGCAAAGAACTAAGCAGCACCCCTCCGTGGGCGCTGCATTAGTTCCTGACCTGACTTCCCTAGTTGATGACTACAAGCTGTAAGATGGAATAAACCCTTTCCTCCCCAAGTGGCTTTCTATCACAGAGTTTTGTCGAAGCAACAGAAACCTAAGACAGACAGACTGATCAAGCTGTTACATCTCATATTTCCTGTTCAAAATCTTCAGAAAGTTCCAAGCATTAGCCAAAATTACACTAATAGGGCAGTATGCTGGGAAACCCAACCACCTAGATGCCCCCAAATGACTTAAGGGACGATCCATACATTTGGCCTTCCCTTTGTCCACACATCCTCCTGCCCAGTCGTCTGTAAACCCCACTTTCCCAGTTTCCCAACTGTCAAAACAAAACTTTCTTAGGAGATGGGACTTAGCCTTTGTGCATCCTAGAGCAAGCAACTGTGTGCCCTGCTTCGGAAGAGAAGTCTCCGAAACCAACTCCTAAAACCATCTTCCTGGGCTGGGGAATGCATTCATCAATTGACGCCTTACCTATCACTGAATTAAATGTGCAAACTGACATCTACTTTTATGGGTCCCGAGTGTAATTCTTCAATTGTCACTTAGAGAAACAAAAAAAGAGACCCACTATAAAAGTAGTTATTTATCCCTCTTGTCAAGTGATCTCGGAAGAGACTCATTACAGAACAGAACCGTGTGTCAGCATATTTAATTACAGAAGATAAAATGGGAAATTAATCCAAGTCTCCCGAACAGTCCAAGAACCAACTCCCGGAGCTCTGAAAGGCTCGCCTGCCCAACACACCCCACCGTAAACTGACGACGAGAGACCCAGCCGGGAACGGGAGTCCGCCCCAGGAGCATAGTTAAAGGCTCACCTATGGTACTCCAGGTACTCATCTACCGCCTCCGCGCCGCCGGGAGGCAACGTCAGCCGCTCCATGGCCACGGGAAGAGAAAGGAGCCCTCGCCTCGAGCTCTGCGCCCTGCAGCTGCCAGACAGGATCCACCCGACCTGCGCGCGACTGCAGCGTTTCCTCCTGAAACAGTTCGGCCCCGCCCAGACATGCACGCCCCGCCCCCTCGTGACTCCGCCCTCTCCACAGGCCCCACCTTCCCCCCCACGGCGCGCTTAGCTCCGCCTCCTTAGTTCCGCCCTCGTCCCTGCAGCTCCGCCCGTTTAGCACCACCCTCTTCCCTCAGTTCCTCCCCTATTATCCACGCCCTAGCCTCTGGGCTCCGGCCCACTTAGCTCCGCCCTCACCCTCTCCAGAGCAGCACCTCTCCCTAGCGCCACGCCCTCCCCTTGCGTCCCGCCTATCCTAGCACCACGCCCCTCCCTCATTCCGAGCACGCCCTAGCCACGCCCCACTGTGGCCGGCCCCGCCCTGCTGCTCCGCCTCCGTACTGACCTGGCCAAATCTCTCCACCAACCTTCATGATTGCCCGTGTAGCCCACGCGTCTACCTGGAGCGCCTCTTTGGTCCTTGAACCTAACTTAGCTTGACTATCACCGCCCTACTCAGTACCTGAGAACCGCAAGCTGCCTTCTTCTGCCTAGGCCCAGGTCGCAAAATAGATGCTGTTTGCCCCCTTCCTCAAGCATTATACTTGTCATTGCTCCGTTCCCAGAGACTCCTGAAGAGCAAGGAAGTCCAATGCCTGGATACAATGGGATCACAAAATAGGGCTTGGTACAGCTCTTTTCATTTCATCCGCCTCTTGAAATATAAGTGGTCTTGGAGAGGTAGCCACTTGGAGCGGTTAGGGTAAGTGCTTGCTGAGTAATCCCAAGTACCAGAGTTCAGAACCCAGCACCCACATAACAAACCAGACATCTCACAGGCACCTTATACCAGTTTCAAGGTGGTCGGAGACAGGAAAATCAACCTAGCCAAGAAAAGTCCAACCCTGGATTCAGGAAGTGACTACCTGAAAGAACTAGATGGATTGTGGTAGAGGAAAACACCAAACTCCCTTCTCTCTCTGTGTGTTTAGTACAGGTGACAAGAAAAAAAAGTTCTCTAAAGAAAGTTATAACAGATCTGAGGAAGAACAAATAGAAATAATTCAACCAAGTTCTTGCCGTCGGGGTTAGAGCCCAGAGCCTCCGCGGTGCTACCTAAGAACTGTACCGCCAAACTATACACCTGGCTCCAAGCTAAGACTGTTCGACGTGTTAAAAGAATCTCCACAAGCCGGGCGTTGGTGGCGCACGCCTTTAATCCCAGCACTCGGGAGGCAGAGGCAGGTGGATCACTGTGAGTTCGAGACCAGCCTGGTCTACCAAGTGAGTTCCAGGACAGCCTCCAAAGCCACAGGGAAACCCTGTCTCGAAAAACCAAAAAAAAAAAAAAAATCTCCACAAGTTTTACATAAAGATGGAATTAGCACCCATTAGGTATTCAGCCATAAATTGTTCTGGCAAGTAGGGAAGGGGGAAGAAATCCACCGCTACTTCGGAGAAAGGAGTCCTCGAACACTGAAGCTCTCTGGGGACCAGATTTAGCATCCTTTGTTAATCTTCATGCTTAGCAGACAATTGCATTTTTACAGAGTCAAGGTTCCTAGCAACTTGCATGCAGCAGGTCGATTGTGGCTGTTTCCCAACAGTGAGTTTCCACTTCAGTGCTCTATCAACTCTGCTATGTCTCCTAGTCAGGAAGATGACGATTTTTGAGAGAAAGTCTCACCATGAAATACTGCTTGATTTAGAACTCACTATGCTGCCTGGGCTGGTTCACACTTGTGTTCCTCTTGTCTCTGCTTCCCAGGTGCTTGCCATGGAGATGTTCCTAATGTTAAACTTTTTTGTTTCTACTCTTTTTTTATTAATTTATTTTTTACATCCCAATCCCAGTTCCCCCTCCCTCCTTTCCTCCTAATCCCTCAATCCTCCCTCCTCCCATCTGCTCCATGGAGAGGGTGAGGCCTCCTCTAGAAAGTCTACTGAGTCTGTCCCATCATCTAGTTGAGGCAGGACCAAGGCACCTCTCCACCCCACACCCCTGTGTCTAGACTGAGCAAGGTGTCTCTCCTATAGAATGGGCTCCACTAAGTCAATTTGTACATCAGAGTTAGATCTTGGGCCCACTGCTGGTGGCTTCATAATGCTAAACTTTTTACTGTTCTTAATGTTGTTAGCCCTTCATTCAACACCTTTTTCAAAATTATTTTTAATTAGTACACATTGTATTGGATTTCCGAAAGGCTTTTTCATACATCACTAGTTTTGTTAACTCACCCCTGCCCTTACCTTCATCCCTACTGAAACCTTTATCTCCCAGGGTTCTCCCCTCTAGTTTCCTAGCACCTGTTCCACTATCTCCTCCCCATACAGAGACCTCTTTCCCTCCACCTCTTACGGAACCTTCTGGCTTACAGACCTCTAAGACGATCCAAATAAAGACATAAATATGCAAGCTTGAAACTGACACCCACACTGAGAAATAACACATGCCATTTGTCTTTCTGGGTTTGGGTTACCTCCCTTAGCACAATATCGTACTGTTCATTCTCCTGCAGATTTTACTTTTCTTTCCAGATGAATAAAACCCTTTGTAAATGTATACCACATTTTCATTGGCCAAGCAGCAATTGATGGACATCCACTCTGATTCCATTTCCTAGCTACTTTGCAAAGAACCACAGAAAATACGGGTGTGCAACTGTGACTGTGGAATCCTTAGGATACATGCCAGAAATAGTATAGCTGGGCCACACAGTAGTTATATTTTCAGCTTTTTGAGAAACCTTCACACTACTTTCCACAGTGGGTATACCAGATTACACTCACATCAACAACAGAGAAGGATGTCTTTCCCCACATCCTTGCCAGAATTTGTATTTTTTTTTCTCGGTGAAGAGCAATTCTGAATGGGATGAAATGGAATCCCAAAGGTGTTTTAATTTTCAGTTCCCTGGTGGCTAAGTAGATTAAGTACTTTTCAGAGTATGTATTAACCATTTGTGTTTCTTTTGTTTGTTTGTTTGTTTAGTTTTTTCAAGACAGGGTTTCTCTGTGTAGCTCTAGCTGTACTATAACTTGCTCTGCGGACCAGGCTGACCTCCAATTCAGAAATTTGCCTGCCTCTGCCTCCAGAATGCTGGGATTAAAGGTGGCCTGGCTCCATTTGCGTCTCTTGAAAATTCTCTGTAGCCCATGTATTGATTGGGTTGTGTGTTTTCTTTATGTTTAGTTTATTGAATTCTTTGTGTTTTCTAGATACTAATCCTCTGTCAAATGTATGGCTTTCAAAGATTTTCTCCCAATCTATAATCAGTCTCTTAATTTGCTTATTGATTTCCTCTGTTCTTGCTTTTAGTTTTATAGACAGCATTTATTGATCTTTGGCCTTCCTGGGCAATCAGAGTCCTGTTCAGAAACTCCTTGCCTATGCCTATCTTGAAATGCACTCCCTGATTTCTCAATTATCCATTTCAGAGTTCCATGATTCTGAGGTTCTTGATCCATTTGGCGTTGTTTCATGCAGGGTGGAAGTAAGAATCCAGTTTCATTCTTTTGCAAATAGACATCTGTTTTCCTAAGCACTGTTTGTTGAAGAGACTGACTTTTCTCTAAAGTGTATTTTTTACATCTTTGTCAAAAAACAGGTAGCTCATGGTTGCAAGGCCTTGTTTGTCTAGGCGTGAGCACAAAATCCCACAAATCCCTGTGCTTGGTTTGAAATCCCACTAACCTCTACCCTGGAAATCTCCACATTGGAAAACTCCTCCTTGGTTAGAGTTGTTCCAAGGTGGTTGGTTTGAGACTATTATGAATGAGATTGCTTCCCTGACTTCTTTTCCAGTATATTTGTCTTTGGTATATGAAAAGGATAATGATTTTAGTGTATTAATTTTGTATCCCCCATTTTGCTGGAAATGTTTGTCAGCTCTGTTTCCTGGCAATGTCTTTAGGTTTCTTATGTATGGAATCATAATGTGCACTTGGTGAATCTTAGACTTCTTCCTTCCCCATTTGTATCACTTTTATTTGCTTCTCACGTCTTACTACTCTAGATAAGACTTCTAGCTCTATATCGAGTAAGAGTGGAGAGAGAGTGGACACCTTTGTCTTGTTCCTTGTGCTGGTAGTGTTGGTAGCGATGCTTTGAGTTTTTCTTCCATTATAATGCTGGCTATAGATTTTTTTCATGCTGAGATAATTTCTTTATTCTGAATTTCTTCAGGACTTTTTTTTTTTTGGGGTTTTTCGAGACAGAATTTCTCTGTAGCTTTGGAGCCTTTCCTGGAACTCACTTTGTAGACAAGGCTGGCCTGGAACTCACAGAGATCCACCTGCCTCTGCCTCCAGAGTGCTGGGATTAAGCAGGTGTGCCACCATCGCCTGGTTCTTCAGGACTTTTTTTTTTTTTTTTTGGTTTTTCGAGACAGAGTTTCCTGCAGCTTTGGAGGCTGTCCTGGCACTCGCTCTTGTAGACCAGGCTGGTCCTGAACTCACAGAGATCCTCCTGCCTCTGCCTCCCGAGTGCTAGGATTAAAGGCGTGCGCCACCAACGCCCGGCTCTTCAGGGCTTTTTAACATGAAAGAATGTTAGATTTTGTCAAAAGCTTTTTCTGTATCAATAGAGGTGACCATGTGATTTCTGTCCTTGTGTCCATTACGAAATTTATAACATTTATTGATTTGTATCTATTGAAGATCACAACCTTGTTCAGTCAGGCTATCAACATCAAGGCAAAACTTCCACCAGCAAAAATATGGCCACTTTCTGAAGGCAGAGGTGATAGTTAACAAGTTCTTAGTAAAGAATATTTTAATTGAGATATGTACATTGTTATCTGAGACATAATGCTATTGTTGATGCAACACAGAGCATGACTTGTGTATGTACTGAAAGCCAAAACAAGTTGTGAGACTTGCTTTCCTGAAATATACATTTTTTTGAAGCAGAACGGTCTGAAACTAAGCCTGCAGTATCTCTAAGGTATGACTGTTCATAGCATCTGAGAAAGACAATAGGCACACAGTAAGAAAAATAATCCAA